CGAAACGACTACGGTGAATTTTTCGACTCCGATTGCTACCGATCCATGGAACCGAGCGGTCCAAACGTCGTGGGGGTGCAAACGATATTTTCTCGTCGGTCGTAACGACGAAAGAGCATCCGTGGACTTTGCTCTAAACTCGAGGAAGCATCGAGTGCCATTTGATTGGTCGAAGGGTACCGAAGAGAGGCACTCCGGTAGATTAAGATTTAGCAGGTCGGAGCGGGATATCGTGGGCGTCGTCGATATTTTTGAGAAGCTCCTAGCTTGAAAAAGTGTCGGTTGCACCTTGCACGGTATTCAGGCCACTCGACTTCTATTTTGGGTGTTGATGTTGGCTATTGTCCCGCCCCCTCAAAGTTTTGCTCCACTTAATCGTTATTGGAAATTGATTGGTCCGTTATATATGACACTCTATATATACCATATAGCTGGTTCGATTAAATATATTGTATATAATGTACGTGGATCATGTCACCTGTGTATATTTTATTGAGTCGTTCAAGGGTACGAAGCGGGACTTACCGCGCGGACAAGTCCGTCCCGGAGGAAGGGCCCGATCGGATACACCGACAATCCGTACAGACATCGTACAGACCCGCGTCCAACGCGTGAATCGAGTCCCAAACTCGCGGACAGGTCGCCATTGATAACGCCGTTTAACCTTTCATCCCATGGAACCGCGATAAATCTCGTTGTCCCGATGTCGAGCGATGTCTGTACCGAAAGGGTCAATTCGGTGAATGAAAAGCCGCGTTACCCCCCTCTGGCAAAGCCCGGTTCTTCGCGTTATTAAGCAAACGAGCTCGACGAATCGCGAACAATGCAGCCGCGAATGACAAATCATCGCCGCTATTTCCCTCTTTTCGCGGTAGAAACGAGCGTCGTCAGGCAGAGAATCGAGATTTTCTCGCGGGTTACATTAATCACGCGAACCGTTTCGGCCTGTTCGAGCTCCTCGCTTGCCCCGCGACCACGGCAAGAAAATTAATCAGAAATTAGTCGGCACGCAACCTGTCGGTCGCGCGTCGATTACGGCCGGTCGGTACAATGATTAATCGAGCGTGGATCGAAGTGGGTCCCGCGAAAGGACCAGCAGCTTTCGCGATTACGTATTTTCAATCGGCTGCTGGCTCGTAATTATCGAACGCCGAGCGTGTCCATCCGCCCTCTGCCTCTGCTCGGTATCGGTGTCGGTCCCAGCGTCGTTAAATTAATTATCGTTCAACAGGTAAGTCGTCCGGTGGATAACCGGCTGTAAACGTCGCGACGATACAGGCTGTCGTTTGTCAATTTTTACGACCGGCGGTTGCATCCCGCCGTTAATTGCTCAACGCCGCCGGAATCGTCGGATATTAACGTAACGCGCGGTGTTTCGCGATAACGCTTCACGGACGTGCGTCGGAGATACCATCGGCCGGCAGTTTTACGACGTCGTAATAAATCGGGACGTCGGGAGGGAAATTCGTTTCGTAAGATTGAAAATTACGGGGGGATTTAATTCGTCGAAACGCGAGAACGTCGCGACGTCCGTAACGCGTCATCGTCGCGACGCGCGAACGATCCTCCGGGTTACGATCGAACGACACCGTTCGTCGGCAATACGGAAACATCTGGTGAAACGTTGATACTAAATCCTGTTACGCGAGAGTTCCGTCCGGGTGATCGAAATGCTCCCCTTTCTAAAATCATCCCCTATCGAACCGTCGCAAATGCCACGCGGTACAATGTAAATATGTCTGTACATTTTGTAACATAAACACACTGTCGGCACCTGTTGTGTGTGGTTCGTCCCGTAGAAACAGTTCTCGTCCGTTTAAGGTAAGACCCAAAATGAAAAGGAACGTCAAATCTGTTACTTGTCTGTCTCTTTTGTTTCCATTTTTTTTCTCTTTTTTTTCACTCTCTTTGATCGCTCCCCGATATATGAAAGCCTGCTAGTTCAGATTAGTGATACTTTTTGGGAAATGTTGTTACGATCGAATTACTATTTCTTCTCGTTATCTTGGCACTTCTCCTCTCACACACCTCTGTGCTACTCGCATACGTTACGTATTATGCCTCTCTCTCTGTTTCTTGGACTGTTTGAATGCGAACCTCTTCACGATTTTCAGACACGATTTCGCGCTCCGCGGATTGTTGGAGCGCCTCCCCCAGTCAACCCGAACCACTCTACTTTTCTTTTCTTCCGACCGAGGATCGCTCGCGAAGGGACGGGGGCGAAGCGACCACGCTGAAATTCGTTCGCTCGCCTCCTCCCTCCGAGCCTCCGGTTCCTCGATGACACTTGCCCCCCCCCGGTTACCCTCGTGACAGAGTGTCGCTGAACTCGCGACCGATTAATTAGCGACTACTCGAACACGCGACTTTCCGCGAAACTGCATGGAAATCAGCCGAGTATGTTGTTCCCCGTACGCCACGATGGCTCGTCCCTCGATCGACCTAACGCCGATCGCGTTTCTCGATCGATCGCGAGCCACCCACCTCTAATCACTCTATTTTCTTTCAGCGAAACTAATAGTCGTCGAGCTATCTTGAGACGTTTCGCTTTCGTCCAACGAGAACTCCGCTCCGTTCCGCGTTACCTTTCTCTCCCAGACATCCATGAGAGTCGACAACGCGACCGCGACGACCGATTTCTACCTCGCGAGTGACCCAACCTCTCTGACCATTTTCTACCGATTTGCTCGTTGTCGTTCTTGCCAGGGAAAATTCGAATCCGGCCGTATAACCGGTTTGTACACCGCGACTAAGCGTTTCGCCGATCCCAGCAGCACGGGCCGGAAACGCGTCCATTAAACGCGATGTCGCGGTCCGAAAATCCGGCTCGACCCCGTTTTATCACGGACGCGTTCGAACGTTCGGGAAATCGGGTCGGGTCCGCGGCTGGCTGCCACGCGGACTAATTAAATTTAATTAAACCCGACGATTAAGTCCGACTCGCTGGTTCCGCGCGCCGAAATTAACGGCGACGAATACCCGGCAGGGGTATGACGATCGATGCCTCGATCGTCGACTCTAGATAGAGAGCTAGTCGGTTAGCGCTTCCGTAGACAGAGCTTGTAGTCGATCGCGAGAACAACGAGACGGGACTCGCGCGAGCTTTCGTTCTTGGACGACAGGAAACGCGACGGGCGAAGCTCTTTTCTCGCATAATTAGGCGACTAGAGTCGATACGCACGCGGGTGATCGTGCCACACAAGCCACCCCCTAATTCTTGTCAATTAAGCTGGAGCCTTCGAAACGGCGCGTATCGTCCCTTCTCGTAAAGTCTGGTTTAGTTAGATGGTAATAGGGTGTTCGTGTAGATCTAGCCTCGGTGCTCTTAGATGGGGAGCGTAGGGAAGAGGGTACGAGCTGGTGTAGAGTCAGGGGGTTGCTCTAGATCGGCGATCCACGATTTCTTTTAAAGTCCGCCCTGCCTCGCAAGGACGAGGAAGCCGATCGAGAGTCCGGGAATGTCGATCGGGGATAAGAATACGTGCCTTCTGACGACCACCGTGCTTGTCAGAGCGTCACGACTAGAGATAATCCGTAGAGGTCTATGTAGAAACACAGACTCTTTAGGGTAGGTGAGCTTAGCGTGCAACAATGTAGTGTGTGCTTGTGGTGTGGATTTCAGCAGGCGTACAGTCAGTACATCCCAGCGACAAGGGCCCAAGTATCGGGTGCCCAAGGGGGGCAGACCGGGGCTGCGATGGACGGGACTTACCTCGTCGAGGCCTCGTTCTGAGGGGCCTGACTCGCTTAGCCAGTAAAGCCTAGTAAAGCACGCTAAACTACAGATCCCAGTAAATCCGAGGCAAAAATTACAGTTTAAAAAAAAAAAAAACGTAAAAAACCAGATAGAACAGAACACTAGAACAGAGTAAATAATTAATAGAAAAAAAAAGAATAATAATAATAGTAATAATAATAATAAAAAAAAAATGAGATAAAGAGAAGTCGAACGAAAGTCGAGAACGAATAAGCGAAAAATATTCGAACGAGCACGGATACACGTTCGAATCGGTGTTTAGAGGCCGAGCACTCGAGTGCGTTTGGAGAAGGAAAGGTAACACGAGATATATACGATACGTTTACAGACAGATTTCGAGCCGGTCGACGCATAGAGAACACTCGAACGAGATGATTTTCAGAGAACGGAACAAACGAGTGTAGAGAAATGGACATATGGAGGAAACATCAGTCGAGAACAGGCAACCGATAGAGAAAAGAAATAATAAAATAACTGACACAAGACACACACAGCGATAATAAACTGTACACAGATGTAAATCAATCAAATTCTTCTATTTCCTCATTTCCGTGCCCACCCGTTCATCGACGACCGACCAACCACCTTGCGATCCACGTTGGACAACGGACACCAACGATGACGTCGCATCGTCCGCCCATCATCGTTATCGTCATCACACGGCCGTCATCGTCTCCTTCACCGGCCATCACCGTGAAAATAATCGTCCCGTTGTCTCATCCCGCTTGCTACGAATCGGCATCTTTCTCTCTTCGCATCCTCTCCGTTCATCATCCGCTCGTTCTCCACCCATGGACACGAAACGAATTTTTAACGAATCACATGCGTGAACGAAAATCAACGCACGTAACGAACGACAAAAAAATAAAAAAAATAAAAAACAAAATACGAAAAATAAAAAAAAAAAAAAAAAAAAATATTACGAACATCGAATAAACAATTCGTCCACGTGAAACTGTGCGAAATTCATAATGAATCCGATGGATCTCTCTCGCGCGCTCTCTCTCTTCTTTTCTCTCTCTTTCACGCTGGGATTTTATGGACGATGTCGAACGAAAAATAAAATATAAACGATAATAACGATAATGACGACGAGAACACGCTAACGATCCGACGATGGAACGGATTTGAAAAATATATCGTGATCGATGGGATGGACGTTAAAAATCATGCGAAAAATAAAACGCATACCGCGGCGTTTTCCACCATGGCCGCCGAAAAATATCGCACGTCCACATTTTAGAGCTTGTCTTATCAGCTCACCTCGAACGAGAGCAAGGATAGAGTGGTGCTCGTATATGAAGACCGTATACAAGTGCGGAAAAAGGTAAAGAAAACCGTGTTACCTGAAACCGTTTTGGATACGATGATAATCGATGTACATTACATACCATGTTATATCGTTTCGTTGCTTTTGTACGCGCGCTCACCGCCCGCGCGTCCCTCGCGAGCAATACGTTTCTGCTTGTATACACGGACGCGAAGCGGGGATCTATAAAACCGATATTCCATTATACACCATTCGCGGTGTCGCAGGACTTTGCCTTCTTCTCGATCGGGACACAAAAAGTGGAGGGAAAAAAGGAGAAAAAGGAAAATAAGGGAGGAAAAAAGATAAGGGGTGGGAAAAATAAGGGATTCCTTATTTTACACGCGTATCTTAGGATTTTTCCAGTCTGCGTCGACGGTCTCTACCTTAAAGTTGCACGAAAGATTTGATCGTCTCTCGGAATCGAACGGGACCCAGTTCCGAATCCTGGAGCCAACGCCATTTTAAGGGATAAGATATATCCCTTAGGCTTCGCGAGCATCGTCCCGTATACAAGCACGCGCATTACACGCGGCAACGAACGCGCGGGATCGCGCGCGCGTACAATCTTCCACGATGTTTATCAAATGTGTATAAGATCTATATATATATATACATATACATATACATATACTATTGTGTGGCCGTTGGGAGAATATGAGGCAGCTTTTCTTGTCCTTCGACGGAAGGATCAGGACGAAGGACACACGAAGGCCTCCCCATGCATCCCCTTGGTGGTCGAGAATTATATCGTGTCGCGTGGCTGATCCCTGGATTGGCTTCTGGGTGTCTGCTTTTCCCGAAAAACATTTTCTTCCTCCGCTTCTTCCCGTCGCGACCTCCTCCGCCACCCTCTCCCCTACGCTCCTCCCGATCGAACCACGTATACAAACACACATCTCGACCGTCGTCTTTCAGTTTTCCCATTTCTCGACTCTCGTACCTCGTTACTTTCTTTGCGTCTTTCCTCCGTCTTCACGGACTCGTACCTCTCGTTTCTAGCTCGCATCCTGGCTTCCACCAGCGTTTCTACTTTCCCTTTCTCTCGCGATCGTCCTGCCGATAAACCCTTCTGGCATGATGCCTACTCGAACCCGTCGTGTTGCGGCTGACTCTTGATCTGGCTTCTGATTTATGCATCTCTCTGGTGATCCAGCTACGCTTCTTCGCTTCCCTCGTTGGTTCTCCCATCTGTCTGCATCCAAACAGATCTCCACGCTCCTCCGGTTTATCCGCCCTCTCAGCCCAACCCTCGCGGCTTTAAATCCGCTGCTAGCTCCAGTTTCTTTTACTTTAGCGAGCTTTCCATCGCGGCTAGGTTGCCACGAATTAAATCTCCGCCCCGGGGCTCAGCGGAGAGAAAGAGAGAGCGAGCTAGGCAAAGATACTCTATGGTACCTGGGCACTTAGGAAGCGTTCACGAGGCAAAGACGAATCCGTCCACGGATCAGGGTAAACTCAGGGAAGATTATGTACGGCTCCAGCGAAGCAGGTTTCTGCGCGCTTTTCACGCCTCGGTGCTTTTCTTTCGGCCACGTCCGCCATTCGTCCCGTTCCCTTTCTTCGTCGTCTGTGTCCAGCTGTAGTCCGGTTACCGAGGCTTTCACGGGGATGGAAAAAAGCAAGGGGTGCGCGACAAAAGGCCCGTGACGACCAGATACGTCGCCACCTCCCGGTTCCTCCGCGTCGCTACGCCCGTGTTTCACAGGGGTTGACGAGCCCCTGCTTTTCGTCCTTGACACGTGGCTCGCTGTTGGTTAAATGGAAAACCAGCGCAGATGGTATCGATACGATAGGACGTCGCTTGTCGTCGTTAATTGGTTAATTCTCTGGCCCGGTTTGATTTTCGTCCACGGGTTTGGGACCAAATTTAGGGTTAGGGTTTAACGCTGCAAGTGCCATCCTGTCGTTTCTGAACATTTTATTCTCTTAATATAATAACCTCGTATTATATTAATACCTATTAATTATCAGTGTACCGCGTTAATTATTACTAGACGTATTCGCGATATTATAGGTAATTGTAGCGTTGGGCACATAGAGCGAGCTACGTAAGTGACTGGAAATTTCCGACGTGCAAATTTAATCTTCGAGCCCCACCCTTGAGTCGCTTCGGGTCCCGCCATCTTTCCACCTTCGTTCACTTTTATCCACGTGCCGCATTCACGGAAAGTTCCGTTTCCGTTTCGAGATTTTTAGCACCAGCGAGCCTTAAAGTCGGCTGATTTATTTCACGATCGAGCTCCCTTTAAAGTCCCCGCGATGCGTACTAATGGCCCCGAGCTGCTTTAATAAGCGAGCCGTCTCATCCGCGCCTCATGGCAACCGATGATTAATGTACCCGGCTAAGGGAAGACGTCGGACGAAATTCGCTCCGATCCTTTCACGCCCTCCTAATGCGTTTCCCTTGTATTGTGCTAATGCCACGCGACCCTGGGCAAACGTGCGCATCGCGTGTACGTGGCTGCATCATGGCCGCTCGATTTTTCCGATCCCGGAAGCTCCTTCGTGACGAGAAGCTCGTACAGAGACTCGTCGGTGCATCGTTGCGTGGAAATTTCATTATTTCCCACTCTTCCGTCCGCGATTTTATATCTCCGTCATTCCCTCGTCGTAAATAACAACGGGAGTATTACGATCTCCGCGTTATTCCGCCAAACGATGCCTTTTTATTCCCATTCGGGGAATGCGAATTTTCGCGGGACGATTCTCGGTGTAGCAGCGTATCTCGTTGAATTTCCTCGGTCGTGGTATCGCGCCAATCCTGTCATTCGGCCCCCAGAAAGTCAGCCGTGGCGAACAAAGCGACGCGTTAGTTGGTCGGTATCTTTTTGTCCCTGCCCCGTCGCGAGACTGCGTGAACTCACTCGCGCCACCTAGGTCTAGCAGCGCGATCAATCGCGACGAACTCTGGCCGCCGCAACCGAAATAACGCGTTCACGGGCCACCGAAAGAGAACAACACGCGTATCTCGTGCGTCACGGGCTAAAGGAAGCAACGTAACCCTTTTGTTAAAGCTCGTTCACGCAAGGAATTCGCGTTTTCCTTGTCACCGTCAGGGACTTCTTGTCAATCTCGGTTCGTTACATTTTCCGCGGCCCGAGTCGGTTTACGTGTCATCGGTGTACGTTGAATGCTCCGGTTCGCTGTCTTCCTTTACGGTTATTCGCGAGTGTGGCTATAAATAGACGTTAAGCTCGACGTTGAGTCAGTCGGAATGTCATTAGCGTTGACGGTGTATGACGGTGAACGTTACGCGACGCTTCGTACACCGAGACACCGTTGATATAAAGTTCCTGTCACGTGACGTTACACGGAAATTCCCGACTGTCGTTAGCGCCATCTATCTAGCCCTGACACTATCTACGTACGCTTCCATCTGGTTATTACCTAAAACGCGAGCCGGTGGTAACGATAAACCGACCTGGCGTGAACGAGCCTTAAATCCAAGCTGCACACCGGCGCAGCTGCGTCGCAGACGGCGTGTAGACAGGAAGAACGAACATCGCGGACAGGCCGGTTGAAAAGGATTAACGACGCTCGTCGAACGACGTCGGGAACGACGTCGAGGAACACGTCGACGATCGCGTCGGCTCGCACGAATGTGCAACGGAGAGAACGAACCGCATTGCGGTGCACGGATGCAGTCGGCGATTTTTCCCCGGGAAATCCGACGGTTCGTGCATGCAGCCGTCGACGCGTACCCGTTCTCGTCTCTTTTTCACCTCTGTCCCCGTTTCTTCTTTTTTTCTTTTTTTATTTGCGTACAGCTGCGAGCGAATCTGGTCTGGTTAATGGGCCACGCAAGCTTCCGTAGGATTTTCAGATTATCGTTGAACACATCGAAGAAGCCGTCTTCTCTTATCGCTCGTCGGGCTAAATGCCTGCTCGGAGGCAGATGACGGATTCTATGGTACCCGGTCCGGGATTAGCGTCTCTGGCGTTTGCTCTGGCGTTTGCTCCGCGGCCATGTAAATTTCCAAGTTTCGCCGAAGATCGGACACCATAGACGAATCCGTCGTTCGCATTATGGCCGACGATTTATCGTTGGCCGCCATTTTTCCTCCATTCGTACGCGTACTCGAAACACACCGTGACGTCGGAGGCCACGTTTGCGCGCGAACGCATACGAGACGCTTGACGAGACGTTCGCTTCGATCAGTAAGGGAAATGTGAAAGCGAGCCAACCGATTGCTTCGCTGATAAACAGGTCCGCTTTTATTTTTCGCACACGCCCGAGAAAAATGTTGTGCCGACTCTACCGAGCGCTGTGACGAAGCTTCGACGTATGTACCACATCCTCAGACCAACTTTCAATGCACCTTTATGCAATGCACTGCATCGTGGATGCGTTTCTGTTTGATATCGAGTCGATATACCGGCAACGATTGTTCTTCCAAATCAACTCGACACGATGTTCCTACCTAGTTCGTCGGATGCGACGAAAAGTTGGGGGAAAAAAAGAAAGAAAAATGGAAAAAAGAATAAAAAAAAAAGTAAAATAAAAAAGAATACGAAACGAGAAAAGACGCAAAAGATACGCTAGCACGTGAGTAGATCTGGTATAAAGAGTTCGAATTACCATGTACGAACACAAAGGGGATTCGTTGCGAAACAGAAAACGCGTGGTTCGAATGAACACCGAACGTTGAAACGAACCAAAGTCACAGACGTACTGCAATTAATGGCTTGTCGAAACGATCATTCTTATTGCACCTGGCATGTTTCTTTTTCAATCGATCGTTCCACCATATCTCCATAGCAGCGCACATTCTTTCACATAACACACACAAACACACGGACACACTGTTTCTGTTCACCCAGTTCACCCATAGCCGTTTCTTGTTCTTGCTGTTGTATCGCTGTTACGTTTCCTTTCTTTCGATATTATACTTCATACATATACGTACTATTTTATTGTTGCTCTTGTTAATCTGTATCTCTATGTTGTTACAGTACCGTTGTTCCGCTTTTTCGATCTCTTATTCTTATCGTCGTTTACTTGTCTCTCACTGTATACCTTCTTTTCGCATGAACTTTTCTGTTTCTCTCTGAATTACCTTGCTCGTGGCCCGCGTGCCTCTTTCATTCTACCCCCCTTCCTCTCGACATCTCTCTTCGCTCAAAATCGTCGCGATCTTTAGCATCGCGATGCTCCAAAAATTCGGTCTTCGTGGCGTCGCGGTTACTTCATTTCCTATTCTTTTTTCTTTTTCTTTTTTTTCTTTTTTTTTTATATATATATATATATCTAACGTTCGAAACGCGCGCGCTATAGTTTGCCTGTATATTTTTTTCGTCGACGTCGATCGGAGTAGTTCATCGTTTTGTATACGTCATTCGATGCCACGAGGCGAACGTCACGCGAGATCGCATCTCTCACATTCCATTTCATCCGAAAAAATAAAAAAAAAAAAAAAAAAAAAAAAAAAATAGAAAAATGAAAAAAAAAAAAAGTAGAAAACGATCTGCGAACGATAGCTCTGTTCGGTCTCGAGAGTTCAGAGATCCGAGAGACGCTTGCGTTCTTGTGTCAAGATGTAGAGAGAAACGAGAGAGATAAAAAAATACGAGGGATCACTGTGCTCGAGGAGCTTGCGGGAGAACGCAGACAGAGAGTACACACGGATAAACGTTGGAAAGAGAGAAAGAGAGAAGGAGAGGAGGGGAGGGAGAGAGAGGAGACATAGAGAGTAGTGTAACACGCATTTACGATTATAGTTTCGATTATAGTTGCTCTAGAAACGTAGAAACAAAGGAGTGAACGAGAGAGAGAGAGATGAGAGAGAGAGAGAGAGAGAGAGAGAGTGAGAGAGCGCGGAAGGAAGAGAGAAAGGAAGAGTGCTTTTGGACGAATGGTTGAAAGGGGGAGAGAGAGAGAATGTAAGAGAGAATGAACAGAGAGACTCTTGAAGAGTCGAGGGAAGAATAGAGAAAATGAGAGGGTAGTGTGTGAGAGAGAGAGAGAGAGAGAGAGAGCGAGAGAGGGGGAGAGAAAGGGAGAAAGCAAGAAGTCACACAGATGGACGAAGAATCTAAATTGAAACATATCCGAAATACGAATTGTTCCAGGACCTAAAGAAGCGCGGTTCCCACACCTGTGACATGCAGGCCCTACAGCCACTTCCGGTCCCAACCACCACCACCACCAACACCGCGCCTGCCATGACTACTTCCGGTGGCCAGCCACCGCTTCCGGTATCGGAGACCGCTTGAGTCGATCACCGAGACCAATCACGATCACCATATCCGCTATTATGAACAAAAAATATTCACCTTTAACAAACACCATCACCGTCCTCCTCTTCTACTCGATGAAAGAACAATGGCCGACCGGCCGGAAGAACGGTGAGCCTGCATTCACGATCTTTTAATCGACGGGGGTCTCTACGTGCCTCGTGACCAGCCGGAAGTAGTCCAAAGATCTGAAACAGGTCTTCCGGAACGTCGGCACGGAATTTCGAAGAATCTCATCACGATCGATACCTCGCTTTTAGTATGGCTTATATAAAATACATCTTCGCGATTAGTGTACGAAATACGAGTCGGTGATGCAATTTCGAGACTACTTCCGGCGGTGCACGTCTTCGTCGTTCACTGCTCCTAATCATTACGTTATTTGCAGCTACGATTAACGCTTAGTCACCGGAAGTAGCCTCTCGCAGCCTCGTCGTTCGTCCGCGAACGACGCGGAAAGCACCCGAGTCTCTCGATGGCTACTTTCGCTGACTATCCCCGTTTAACCCGAGCATTCTTCGTCCGTTGAAAAGAGAACAAAAGACAAATAGAGAGAGAAAGCGAGAGAGTGAGAAAACACCGTTCTCTGGATGCGTCTGGCGCGTTTAGAGCGGGTACCTGTGGTTATATCGCCTAGTCGCAGTCGCTCTATTCCCAGCTCTGCTTGCATGCGCTGCAGCGAGGAGCCCCGCAGCATCCGGTGACGCGTCGCGTCGCGACCTAAGTCAGCCGTGTTATTCTCGGTCCTCGGGATCGATCACGGGTTCGAGGCTCGTCTGGATGGTGGCAGGCTTAGCGTCGCGGCTGCGACCAGGATTTAGCGAGGCTCGGCCTCTCTTAAATCTACCGGAAAGTCACCCCCTCCTAGACGTTGATCAAGCTTTATCGCTCTAGCCAGCCTAGAGAGCTTACCGTTTCATTCACGAAGACGCATCGAGGCTCGCTTTTATCGCTGGAGAAACATCGAGATCGTGGTGCTCGACTCTCGTGGAGAACGCTGGCTGAGGACGTGGACGAGGAAATTGAAACGGATCGTTTAAATCTGCGGAGCCACACGCATCGTCGCTGACTTTAAATCCGAACAGATCGATGGACGTTAAGCCGGCAGAGTACCGAGCGGGAATTTCAGAAGCCAGTTTCGCGGTCGAGTAGCGAAGATCGAAAATACGTTTGCAGCGGGCTTCGTGGACATCAGCTCCGCTGTGGCTTTGTAGGTGACCGTGGGTCAACATTAGCGGAGCCTTCGTTAGGACGTTCGGGAAACGGCACAAAGCAGCTTTGAGAGCGGTCGCCGGCTGCAAGTTCCGGCGTTCATTTCGAAGATGAAACCTCCAGCCCGCGTTTATTCAGAGATCAAAATGGCTGGTGGAATTTTGCCTGCCCCGTGTCACTCGTAGCCTCTCTTCGTCGGTGTGTTCCGGTCAAACATTCGCACCTGGACCATTCCGAGATTGCGTTTACCTTAAATTTCGTTAGGTCTGTTTAGTTTTCCCTTTCGATAGCTACCGATCGAGGAATCCTCCCCGACCGATCCTGGGGCAGATCCTGGGACAGATCCTCGTCGATGCAGGGAAATTTACACTCGCGGAGGTCGGAAATTCACGAGTGGAGATCTATCGGGCGGAAACGAGCGCCTCGCCACGGTATATCGCCGAGCCCTCGACTTTTCGTTTAATCGCGTTTACAGCGTAATTCGGGTTGGCCGATAAGCCGTGATTCGACCCGGTTTCCGGTTCGAGCCGGCTGCGAAGTGGATGAATCGGCCAATGATCGATCAGGCAAAGCGCGTTACTCGAATATTGCCGGCGAGAGGGTTCGAGCGGCCGGCTCAAGAGCGACGAGCACACGGAAGGTGGCCCTGATCTCCGAAACGAGGTCGAAGCCAAATTTGCACAAGCCCGGCGCGTCCCTCTTCGCCCTTCTTGCGGCTTCCTGATCCTTCTTCGAATCGCGAAAGCGCTCGAGTCGTGGCCCGAGCTTTCTGCCTTCTTCCCTCGTTTCTTCCCTCGTTTCTTCCCTCGTTTCCTCCCTTGTTTCTTCGCGTAGCAAACCGTTGCGTCGAGTCTTTGTCGAGGGCTCGGTATAATTCATGCGATGTCCCGGGTTGGACGATGGTCGCAAACGCAAACACAGGGACGGACCACGCGCAAGGGGCATTTCGTCGACGAGGGTAAGGTACTCGCGAGCTACACCCTTGGCAAGCTGGAGTAATTTCGAGGCTCTTCAACGTTTTAATTAGGCATAGTCTTGGAGGAGTCCCGCTGGAGGACACTCGTTTACCATTTTTTGACGAACTTCCCGGTGTCGTTCGACAGCGTGGCATTTCAGGGTTCTATAATATCGCGAGAGCACGGTGTGTAAAGACTCGTCCCAGGTTCGTCGGGACATTATTCTTTCAGGAAAATCGAGCCAATCGCGTGACAGGAGTCGTTACCTTCAACGACCATGCGAAACTTCCCGATCGCGATTCGTTGAAATGCTAAATAATAGCAACTATTCCTTTTTTTCTTCAATTTCTCTTCAACTTTGCCCGGCAAAGGCACTCGAAGGTAAACAGGCGCCAGGAATCCAGCTTTAGATATCGACCGGCCGCGCGCGAGACACCGACCGCCGGTCGAGTGTGTTATTTCCATCGGTGGCTTTTCTTCGGCGCTAGCTAAGTTCGTTGTCAGCGGCACGGCTGCTTTCGCGAAAGGCTTCACTTATAGACGGGGACACTCGAGTCGACCAGCCGCTCTCCTTTTTCGTGCTCTCCACTTCACAGGGTTCGGGGCTACGGGATCCGTTTTGCCAGGCCTGTTCTTAGCCCAACAATCGGTTCTTCTTCGTTCGCTCGCTCGTTCGTTCCTCCTTTGCCCTTTTCTTTTCCTCCACGCCGCCGTGACCGAGTTTCAAAGGAGGCCTAGTTCCCGCGCGCGCGCCAACTTCTCAGGCTTCCTGAAACGTCGGGAACAATAAGCTCGAAGCAACGACCGAGAAACGGATCCGAGACACGCGCCTTCTTCCTGTATATACGTACGTTTCTTTCCCTTCTTTTTCCATTTTTATTCTCCCTTTGTTTTTTCGACTCGGACCAAGTGCCTCTGTGTCGTCGTCCGAAAATAGCGGCTCTTTTTATCGCGTGGCTTTTCGAACGGAACGAACAGCGGCAGCTTTTTGGTGGAGTATGAGTTGGGGAATTTCAGGTATTCGACGTAATTTCCTCGAAACACTCGGGTCTAGAATTTTTTAATTATCCGGGATAAGGTGCTCGAGGTTTATTAATCCCTGATAATAGGATTGCCACTCGTGAAAGTCCTCTGAAACTCTACTTGACGCCTCTTTTCATTGCCTCGTCTACACGGAGAATCGCGCTGTAACTAGGCAGCTCAGTGAATCGCGAAATAACGATCTCTGGATCGCAGCTTGTAGGTTGCAAACAGCAAACAGGTTGCCTTAGCTGGCGTCGAAAAGATCACGGGAAGACTGCGTATACTACTCGCAGCCTAACTGAGAAAGTGCACGAACGTCTCGGGATGGGTTAACGAGATTAACACTAGAACTACCGATCTTTGATGGGTATCTAACTATAACTTGCACAAATTATAGTAATTTCAGCGATACGACGAATATGAGTGAATATATTGATTACAGTTCTTTCTTAATACGAGTTGATACCAGGTGTATGTGTTCGGTGATTGCAAAAAGGAAAATTCTGGGACACGTCATTTTGACTGAGTTGGTAGTTCTAGCGTTAACGCGTTAAACGACACGCCGGTTTTACGGGTGTTTTACGTTCCGTTCCATGGTTTGCCGTCACGCGGGCCCTACTGTTCACGCTATAGTTGGCCGTCACGCGGGCCCTCCCGTTCGCGTCACAGTTGGCCGTCACTCGGACCCTACCGCTCACGCCACAATTGTTCGTCACGCGGGCCCTTCCGTTCGCGTCACAACTGGCCGTCACGCGGACCCTGCCGTTCGCGTTACAAATGGCCGTCACGCGGGCCCTGCCGTTCACGTCACAATTGGCCGTCACATGGGCCTTTCCGGGCCATATGGACCGATGAGGCTTTAACGAAAAATCTAGCGTCGGTGCTTAGAGTCCAGCGTGGCGTTTAACGCGTTAAAAAACAAAGCACTCGTTTACTTTACCCTCGAACTCGATTTCTTGGCTCGTGCTTCCTCCGTCCGTTTTCCGGTCGCGCAACAATGCGTGCGTCGCGTTTCAAAGACACGCGAGGCATAGTTCTCTGTGAACTTGGCTGCCTTCCCAAGACCTGCTTGTCCGATCATCGTCTTCCGGGCAAATTCGAAACCTCGAACAGGTCCGCGTGACGATTTTTGTCCCCCTTCTCCGCGCTATTGTAGTCGCGAGACTATAAACGCGTGGCGAGGAGTGGCTGAAAGAGTTGCACGAGGCACGAGCAGTCGCATAAATTCGCTGAAAGACGCGTTTTCCGTGAAACATCGTCTCGCGAATGCTTTGACACGCCTACGAGAACGAGATTTCACGCGTCGCGACGTTTTAATGGTAATCTCGGCGAGATTTCGCGCGACGCTATTCACGAGCGTGGAATTTTTCGCGGAAATGCTTCACGCTCCTCCTTCGCGAAAGGGCTTTCCCGGTTTAGTTTCACGACGACGAAGATTTTCCCCCTCGGCGAGCTCGTTTCGTTACCTTTAGCCTGGCGCATGGTTGAGTAAAAGTGATTGGACCAGCACCAAGTGCCGGGGGGTTCCGTCCAAGTGCTCGTCCCCGCGCTATTTCTCCGCTTTATTACCACGACGAAAATTTCTGCCGCGATTTCGGCCCCCGAGTGTCCGTCGATTTTGCGTCACGGGCGTAGCTGAACGTCCCTTGATTTCTCCGTGTATAATTTATGTACGATTCTATAGCCACCGTGGCGTTCGTTTAACGAACGCGGAGAACCGTGAAGGAGGTCAAAGAGGAAGCATAACTCGCTCCACGATCTCAGTCATAGCTCCATCGTCAAGAGAGAAAGAGAGAGAGAGAGAGAAAGAGAGAGAAAAGAGAGAAATCAGGTAAATGAAAAGATAGTTTCTCGAGCGACGAACCAGCGACAGTCGAGTACCTCGATCGATCTTTCGAACGACTGCATCTCGCGTGCAAAGTCAGTGTAGCAGACCGCTTTTAATTTCAGTAAGGAAAGAGAGACAGACGCGAGATTCGATGGCGCCTCCACTCGCAGGCGCCATGATCTACCGTGAGAGACGGAGAGAGAGAAAGAGAAAGAGAGAAAGAGAGAGAAATTGCAAGGAAGGAAGGAAAGGAAAGGAGAGAAATCGTTCAACGACGATCCACGACGTCCTCGAGGAGGACGGAGGGCCTCTCGTTCTCGAAGAGCAAGGATTGCCCGCGACTCGAAGCTGCACGGAAGCCGGCGACCGGAAGAAGATGCAAAGAAGACGCGAAGAAACCACGAAGAAACCACGAAGAAGAGAACTTCCCGCCGATCATCGAACCCGCAATTCCTCGCGCTTTTCGAGGACGAAGACTCCGCGAATGCACGCACCCGCGCCTGCACGCCACCTTGTTCTTTCTGTTTTCGCTCACGACATACGTGGATCGATGAATTTTAGCCCCGCCTCGAACCGCGCCAGCTGCGCCGCTTTCCGCTCGGGAACGCGAGAAGGAAATCACGGAAGGGGAGGACGCGTAACGCAACCGGATCGGCGTGAAATCCGTCGTCGCCGGTCGAAAACTCGGCTCGTCGATGCGTGCCGCTTCATCCACTCTGCCTCCTGTTCCCGTGTCGGAAAGGAGCTTTTTCAATTCCGAGCCGTCCGGCGGAAAATGCCACGCGACTCGATGATTTCCGGGACAACTGGCGCGCGTTCCAGGACCCTCGTTATTTCCGGGATCCGCGCGTCGATCAATCCGCCCGGGAAACGAGCGTAGTCGCGAGATAGATCGGTCGATCGAGTTTCGTTCGCGTTGTACCGACGAAACCTTCGCCACGTCCTCTTCGCGCTCTTCGAAGCTTGCTGCGCTTCCAAGATGGCGCGACGTCGAGACCCTTCTCCTCGACGCTCGCGACTCGCCGCGCGAAGCAAACGGAAGCGCGGACACTGAGGGGATGAACGACGCGATTGCCGCCATCTTGGACGAGGAGATCCGAGACGAAGGCGTTAATCGTCGCGGATCGTCGCGACTCTTTAGACGGGGCACGTCCCCGCTAGTTATAAGGATACTCGATTTTTAAAATGTCTTCGCGACCGCGAGAGAAATTCGATCGATCCCCGAAAAAGCGGGTTCTCGTAAGGAGTCTCTTAACTCGCTAGGTTTAATTTAGCAAACGATACACTTAAGGGTACGCGAGACGATGACAACGATCGATCGATCAGTCGAGGGGGTTGTAAAGCGGCAGGGAAGGAAGGAGACGGAAGTAAACGGGGAGAAAAAATATCGTAGGTTTACGATGGCGGTCGTAAAACGTCGGCAAGATGAGAGGGGTGGGTTTCCGCGCGGTTCTGGCGCCCCTTGTGAGACTGAGGGATGCGAGAGATCGTAGGGAGGGCGAAATGATCGCGAGCGTTCGTCGGGGACCGCGTACCTCGATACTCTAAATAAAGTAAGATGATGCCCTCGTTCTTTCAAGACTCTTCCACGAGTCCAATTTTCGTTCTTTTTTTCCCTAGATAGTAATTCGTCGATCAAATAGCCGATTAGTGATGGAAAGATCTGTCGCGTGGTCGATCGTGGATCGCGGAGGACCCTCTCTACCGCTTGATTCCAGACGCGTCGGATATCGAATGTTTGGGTGCCATTTTTTCTAATTTTATCGAAATTCGCGATTCGTGGGAAGGATTCGAGAGACGTTGAAAAAGGGAGGATCGAGGGGTCCGCGATCGATCCGCGCTTGCCTGGAGGGACTTTCTTTTGGGCGACAATAGACTACGAGGAATCGGTGTTTTAATTTTCAACGTCGCTGTAAATAATCGTGAAGGCATGGGGGGGGGGGGAGAAATCTCGTGTTGTCTGTAAAATTAACTTTGTAATTAATTGTAAACGATCTAACGGAGCGAAGACGAAGAAACGGAGAGAAAGAAGAGAACAAAAGGCAGAGAAAAGAAAAGAGACAGAGAGCATATATATATATATTATATTATAAATGAAAATAAGAAAAGGGATATATATATATATACATAAAGATACAGATATATTCTACAGGTAAACGTACACGTACACGCACACACGAACGTGAGACACGTGGAAACGAGGGGAAAGACGACAGGAGAACACGTTCACACGCGTTACTAATCACACGTACACACATACGAACACAAACACACACTTGCAACACCATCGCGTCGCGCAATAAAACAAATTCTAAATCAACTTTCAAACTAGAATGCGTGCCTGAGTGCGTGGGAGAACAACCCCGTGAGCCACCGAACCACCCTCTAAATCCACCCAATTCCTGTCTCGAATTTTAGCTAATTTTTCACAAGCCAAGAAAGGAATTGCTTCGATCGCTGAAAATGCCGTGGAAAAATCGAAGGTTGCAGCGACTTTAGCTTCTAGTTACGGATTAATCGGATTCGGCGTTTGAAAATAGGTCTATCGGAACGTCGTTCGGGGAACGTGGGAAAATTTCAATTCCTTTCCGTGAAATCAGCTTCTTCCAATTAACTTTCGAATAAAAGATCGAACTCGGATATCGTCTGTCTCGGATATTTTCGACGACTTTCGAAACTTTTCGGTGAACGTCTCGAATTACTTTCAAAAACTCAATTTCCCTCGTCTTAATTCGAATATCGCGGTTAAATAAAAATGTAGAACAGACTTGGAAATACTCGGTGCACCGGCAGGAGAAAAGAAGAAGCGATCACCGAGGTCGGGAAGTTGTTATCGTAGAATACGAAAGTTGCGCCATCAGAGGCGCGGTTCGGTGGCTTCCGGGTCCGAGAAAGGGGTGAACGTGAATTTAAGTAAAATTTAAAGAAAAAAAAAGCAGATTATTATATTATACGATCGTAGAGATAATCGAGAATAACGTGTCAGGTCCTTCGTCGTCCAAAGTGCTGCAGTTGTATCGCGAGATCGCGTATTAAAAGCGAACGAAAATTTCTGAATTATAGAGAATAAAAACAGAAAGAGAGAGAAAGAGAGAAAGAGAGAGAGAGAGAGAAAGAGTGGAAAAATGAAAGAAACGAAGTAGGATTAAAAGTACGATAAAATGGAACGTAGCAAAACGATGGCTCGAGCTTAATCCGAATTTAAAGATAATACCTCTCTCTCCACCTTTAAATTCCATCGATCCCTCGATGTTACCGTACATTTTTTATTCCCTCCTTGCCTCGCAGAAATTCGAATAAATTCGAAAGCGGAAGAAAAAGCCGACGAAAACGAGGCTGATACGCAACGTCCCCATTTCGCGTTTGTTAGCCGAGAAAAATGACTGTCCGGGTTAAGCTTCGACGCCATGTTGCCTTCGCGGGCACTCGAAAGGAATTGCTGGAAAATTTGATAACCAAATTTCGGGCAGTAGGAATAGGAAAAATGAGAGAAGAAAGAGAGAAACCGAAATGAAACCGATGGAAGCGTACTAGTCGCGCGCGCGCAAGTATTACTCGGTGATTAATTCGTGGAAATTAATTAGTCCGTTAGTTGTTGGCCGAGTTGTCGCGCCTTTTGCTTCCGGTTCGCGTAGCAGATTCGCGAATCGAAGATTCAGCGCGAGGATCGCACGCGAAGCTTTTTCAGCTCGGTCTTCGATTTCGATTACGGATCGTCGGGAGTGACCGGTTCGTCCATTTCCTGCCCCGTGGTTTCTCGTGTCGTCGGCCGGAAATCGCGTCGGTGCTGCCGCGGCCGGCCAATTCGCCGGCTAATCGATCGGTCTCGAGCCGAGCGAGCTTCGCGAGCAATTTTCGGCGGATGAAAGGAAACGACGAAACGGTGGCTCTCTCGGTGCGTGTGCACCATGAGGGGAGAGCTACTCGACACTCTTTGCTCTCGTTAGAAGAACGCCATAAAGTTTCTAGTCAGCCGTTAGGGAAGGGGTGAAAACTGGAGGAACGCGGGAAAGAATCGTTATCGTTTCGGTATTCGTCTTATCCCGACTACATTTTCTTCTTTTATCCGAACAAACGTCTCGAATTTTCGACCCCCTTATTTTTCTACCTTTTTTATTTTCATCCCTCCTCCTCATTTCGGTGATTTCGTTTTACTTGCTCGGTGCACGAGGAACGAGAAGATGAAGGGAAGACGCGATCGAAGGGAAGCGAGGAACATGAATAACGAGTCTTTCAATTCACTACCGTACTGCCAATTTTTCCGATGCGACGCGTAATAACTTTAATAAGGGTTTAAGGCGAGGCGAACTGGCGCGACGAGCGACACGATTCGCGTCCACAAGCGCTCGTCCGATCCGTTCGTTTTCTTTCGTCGCTCCGAAGTCCTGACGGAGGACTACCCCGCGACGTTTCCGGGGGACGCGCCACAGAGGGTGCCCCTCTTCCTCGGCCGGCCAATCCGATTATTTCGATTCCGATATCTATCCGTATAATCCTGACACCACTTCCGTGTTCTGTTCCCCTCAACGGCGCGCGAATTCGATCAATGCCGCGTACCGGGCCGCGGAAAAACACGCTCTCGGATGGGTTCCGCCTAAATCAAATCGACACAGAGGGTAGAACGAAATGGCGCGATCGGTGGACAAACCGGCGCGATTTCCTCGCGAAGAATCGAGAGGAAGAGAACGAGCCGTGACGGTGCATCAGACTCGGCTGAATCCGAGCGGCGCGATCGATCAGCCGCGCCGCTTCCGCTTTGTTCCGCGCCGATTCAAAGCTGCACCCTCTGCGCCGGTCCCTCCGGCGGACCTGCTTTTGCATCGTGAACGGAAAAGCGATCCTTTTGTAATCAGGACACCGTCCACAGGACCTGCGAGCGTAGCAGGATCGACCAATGTTCCTGACACGCTCGACCGTGATTGCGATTCGCGCCGATCGACCGGCAGAGATCGAGGCCGTCTTCGAAATCCGACGCAACATCACGCGCCATATAGAGACGTGTCTCGATGCTATACGTGACGAATACGCGTATCCAAAGTACATAAACGATAGATAGATATGGTCCTTATACCACCGTAGAATGATTGCGCGAAGCGTTGAGAAACCGGAAGGTAGAAATCGGTATGGATGGACGAACAAAATCGGACGAGTATGAATTTTGAACTATGTTTCTTTCCATCCTCGATGCTCGCTGCTTTAACCACTTGCGCCGGCAAGAAATTCACAAACGCCTATGTCAGAACGGTCCAGTGTTTCTGTGGCAACTGCCTGGCGACGCGTACACCACGTTGTTGGCGATTCTGCGACAGAAGCATTACGACGTGCGTGGCACGTCTTTCCAGCGCGAGTGGTTAACAGCAATGGAAAACGCCTGGTGTATCGAGTAATTTGCGATTTCTCGTGAGTCGCGAAACTACGTCCACGTAAACTCTTCCGCGAAGAATCACACGTTTCCGCACACGTGTCCCGGCGTGAAACGAAGCCTGTGTACCTGTAGTTTCTCAACGCGTTCAGGTTGGAATCAATGACGATCCTCTCTGCCGGTCGCGGTTAGTCAGTTATGTAATCGAGGGACGATTAATCGAGCCACGGCCGAAGCAGCAGATTCTCGGCGACTCGAGGATCGTCGCAGCGCGCTGCACGAGGCTCGCCGTGCACGAGGTCCCTCGTTATTTGTATATTTTTCTTAAATCGATCCGAGAAGGCCGGCCGCTTCTCCCTCGCGCGCTTCCGATCTCGTGGATCCTCGAATTTTAATTAACCTCGAATGCTCGAGAAGAGAGAACCGTCGGAGTGCTCTTCGACTAGAGGAAGCTCGCCCCGAGGAGGAGTGACGGGAAGCGCGAAAGGAAAGCGACCGTCCTTGGCTGTTCTCGTGGCCCCATGTCGAGAAGTATCGCTGGACGAGGCTGGAGATAAAGGGGTGAAACGAAATGAAACGGAAAGAAACGGGTAAAAATTGGGATGGAAACGGAGAGACGCAGGCGGGAGAAGCGAGAAGATAGGGGATGAAACGGCGTTCGGGTGTACAGTCGAGCGGTGTTGCGCGAATGTCTAGTTTCCGATGCACTAATCCTAGATTCGTAAGCGGGCACGAGGACAATTGTCTCTCCGGTCAGAGGCTCGGGGTTACGCACCGTGTTATCGATCATACTTGGCAATAACGATATTTTTAATCGTACAACTGTAAAAAAGGAGTAAAGAGAACGGAGAGATACAGATGATAAAAAAAAAACAAAGGAGAAAAATCTATATATATATAAATAAATAAATGAATGAATAAATAAACAAGATATACATACGTAATAAGTGGACGGAGAAGTACGAAGGAAAAGGTAGTTGGACAGAAGATTTATCGACAGCGGTCAAGCGCCGGCACGTTGTAACAATTACACCCGATAGTTGTAACTAGGAACTGGGTGAAGACGTTTTAGCCGATGGTGTTGTCCGTCTTCGGTAGCTTCCACGCCTTACTCAAAAGTGAAAAATAAATTGAAATTCATATTTAACGCAGTCCCTTCATTCGCCCGATGCGTTATCTCGATCGGCGGGGATCGACGGGTCGAATGATGAAAGACAGGAAAGGAATCTCAGTTTCGTACCCTCGACGTACTCGTAAGCCGAGAGAAAGGGGTGGCGAATTTTCCAAAAACCGTGACTCGATTTGATCCATCGGGCACTCCGACCCCCGACCACGCCTCTAACCAACGACCATCCCGAGGGAACCGTCCAACTTTCCCCGATTCGTCCGTCGAATCGTGCATTTCCCACTGTCGAATTCTACGACCGTGTACGTCGGAAAGAAAACACGGAATTAATTGGTGTTTGCGGAACGTCAGCCGCATAGGCGGCAGCGGCGCGTTTACGCGGGAAATCGATTCGTATTTGCGCGTACACCAACAGGACGTGCTTGTTAGCCATTGGGTGGTTTGAGCCGGGCGCCATGGTGTTTGCTGGCCGCACTGTCGTTTCGTCGCGGTATTTATGGCCGTGTCGCGGCATCGCGCCACTTTTTCGAATCCCTCGTTTTATTTCCGGAGCGGTGGTCAAGGACGTCGATACGGGATCAGGATTAAATCACCGGGGCAAACTCTCCGTTCAGCCCAGCTGCTTTTCATATATGCATCCACGTACACACAGGTATACACTCATTTGTCCAATCGATTGCGAGGTATCCGCGAGACGAGAAATAGAAATTTATTTTAGGTACAAAGAGTTGAACGTCTGACGAGCCTTTTATCGGTGGAATTGAAGAAAAATTCGAGTCGAAGAATTTAATTTCAGTCCCCCGTGGACTATGTCGTTCTGTCTCCTTGACAGCTCTCAGGAATATTGCCTCAATTTCCATCATCGATCGTTCTTTTCTAAATAAATAGGCCTCTAGACCCGACTCATACATAGTCAGGTCTAATCCTAGAAATTTCATAGAAGGTTCGAAACGATCACGGAGCGAGTAATCGACTTCTTTTCGCGTTAATTTCACCTGGCCATTCGGGAGCAAGTCCCGTACCATGGAATCCGGAACTGGGTTTTCGTGTGGGACGATATTTTTAAGAAAGGCGGTCGAAATTTCCCCCGACACCGGCGTCGTCGATAAAACAGCGCCCTTCTCTTACCTCCGCCATAGACTACGATCTCGATCGAGACGCGCGCCACTTCAGATCATCCCAGATTCGGTGGACAGAGCCAAAGGAGGCGCGCAATTATCGAATTCGCGAGCCCGCGTCGCCTCGCGTTACACTTGGGTCCGATGTAACCGGAAGCAAGGAATAATTATTCCGCTGTCTCTCGTCGTGTGTCCGCCTCGGCTGGCCGGAATCCATTAACGATCGGTGTGCTTCTCGTTAACAAGATTGTCGACGGAAAGTCGATAGTTAATTACGCAAACGAAGGGATCCCGTTAAAGATGGGCTACGACTGTCCTCGATGCCTGGCGAATCGATCATCGCAGGCGGCGAGCTCATCCACGGGTTTCCACGGACTCTGTAATTGCCTAGAAAGAGTCCTTATTAACTCTCCTCGAGGAGTCAACCGGTCTATGGAGATGAAGCCGAAAGCCGGGAGCGATAGCTCAGCGGCGTCGTTTGGAAACAATGTGCAACTTCGCGAAGGGGTGGGAAGAATGTTCGGAGAAAGGCGGGAGAAAAAAGGGGAAACTGCGAGACAGAAAACGGAAGAAAGAGAGAAGGTGTCGGCGGTGTGAGAGAAAAGATCGGTGAAGAGGTATAATTTCCATCGCGTCGTTGGCCAGCGAAGGAGATTAAGGGGCGAAGCCAAGAGGGAGGGTTAAATCGTTGGAACGCGAGGGCGCATAAAGAGGCCGAAGAGGCTGAAAGCTCGTCCGCGTAAACAAAGAGGACGAAGGGAAGACGGTGGGTAGAAGAACGGAGAGGAACGATAGGAAAGGGGTGGGTCAGACGAAAGTATCTTCGTCGCGGGCACAAAGGCTCCTCTCTCGGGATAAAATGCCATGATTAAAAACTGCCTACTCGTACGCCGTGTTTGTACACACGTACACGCGAGCTCGCGGCGCTGTCGTGGTCCCAGCTTCTCTCTCCGGGTGGAAGCCGCGCGCAGGATGGTTGGACGGGGATGGGGCAAACGGGGTGGGCAGAGTAAAGGACCCGGGGTGGAAAAGCGACAGGCGGTGGCAGTTAGAAAGGTCCGCGAAGTGGCGTTTTCGAGGAGCGAAACGACTCCAAGTGGCGGCGCGTGCTGACCGAAGATAGATTGCTCGAGGAGAAAGAGCTCGTGAAATTATTATCGTTGCGGTCTAGAATGCTCTGGCTGGACCACGAGGACACGGAAGAAGCGGGACGAAGAGACAGAGCGGAGAGGGACGGAAGATCGTATCGAAGACGCGATAAAGGCGAGGAGGAATAAAAATCTTGGGGGTGAAACGTAGGGGTGCGTTTAACACGGACGAAACGATGAAAGTAGCGCGACGATTCGACCTGGGAATAGAATCGCACGGATGTTTCGCGCGGATTGGCTTGTTTAACACGGACGAAACGATGAAAGTAGCGCGACGATTCGACCTGGGAATAGAATCGCACGGACGTTTCGCGCGGATTGGCTACCTCGCGAGCGTGTATATCACTTGGATCAAGATTCGGAAGAATTTCGCACGGATTGGCCACCTCGCGAGCGTATATATCGCTCGGAGCAAGATTTGGAAGAATTTCGCGCGGATTTTGGGAATTCGATTTGGGATGATGGCTGGTCAAGTCGGCTAGAGAGGTCGAAATGGGGCAGGACGATTAACGAGGCGAACCCAGCGAAAAAGGAACGCAAGGGGTGACGGCTAAAGAGCTATTAGAAGGGAGCGTTTCGCGTTCGCCGGGATTATTAAAGCGGCATCAAGAGGGCCGGATGCGAGAGAGGCGAGCAGGGACACGCGGAAAGAGTCGACGACGCGTTGTTTTAATTAAGCGGCAACGAAGGAAAAAAAGTGGAACATCTTTTCGAGGCAGCGCAGTTCCGTCCCGCGAAAGGGAGACAGCCATTCGGCCGCGTCACAATTACGCTAGCTTACGTGCGGATTTAATTATTCCGCGCGAACAACGGGGCCCCGCCGCGTGTTCGTTCCAATTAATTACTGCTGGTCGTTTACCGGTGACATTCCGGTGATATTCTCGCCGCGGCTAAAAGTGGCCGCGACCCAAAGGGGTCGGCAGGGCAACGGGGGAGGGGAAACAGCGTGGTCCTTTGTCGTTCACCCGAGTCTCCTACGTTTCTGTGAACTGCAGCCTGCTCTGTGACGCCGAGTAGACCGGGAAATCCTTTTTCCTCGACCGTCTTTCTTCGTTCCAGTTTAGTCGATGCCACGATCGTTAGCTCGTGCAAGGATGACGTACCTCGAGAGTTGTTCCTCGCGCGAGGACGGAGTGGTCTGCGTTTACTTTCTCGATTTCGAGAACCAGGTATCCGTCAGCATATATACTCCTACTCTTTTATATTTCTTTCTATTTTTTCCTTGTACACGTCGACGTGAGAAGCGTTTCTGTTTCATGAACCGATTTCCGAACGGTACGGAGATCGTCTCGCTCGATACCGAAAGAGGAGGATGGGTAAGTCTAGGTTGGGCCGAGGATCTCTAGGCAGAGGTGGTGGTCGTCTCTCTAGCTCCCCGGATCCTCGAGGCTGGGACTTCGCCGTGGCCAGCAGGTCCGATCGATCCACCGATGGGAAGGAAGGGACGCGAGAGGGCAGGAAGCCAGGATCCGTTTAAATACTCGAATAAAAAGCTCTATCGACTGGAGGAAGAATAAATAAGCTAGCTCGTAAAGCTCCACGTCTTTTTCATTCCCCCTTGCCCAACTCTTCCCACGATCGCAGTTTATCTCGTAACGGGGAGGGAACGAGTCTCGACTGGCAGAGCAAAGCTTCTTCTCTCTACGTGTTAATACTCCGTTTATTTGTCCTTACATTCTGCGATCGCACACGACGGCTAAACCGTTCTGCCAACGACGTAATCACGAGCGAACGTTCGCGCGACCAGCCCAGCCTCGCTCCTTTTAATATCCTTCGTAAAATTCCACGGGATTGCGCGTCGAATGTCTATAAAGTTATACGGCCGTCGTATCTTATCAATTTTCGATCGTCCCGCCGTATAAAAGCAGAGCTTTCGGATAAGAAGATTCCGATGATCCCGAACGTTTTATCCCTTTTCAACGACGCTCGCCGGGTCGGTCCGGGACGAGACGCTGGGCTGAACACGGTAACGTATCGCTGGTCCGTCGAGTCGGGTGTCATCGAGTCTATCTATCGACACAGAACTCGATGGGACAGGCGCAAGTAAACGGAAAGGATCGCTAAATTAAATTAAATGGTAAATCGCGATGATCGACGGAGATTCTGCAACAATGATACAAGGGCGGATCCGCGTCGGAGGGATCGCCTGAACGGGTGAGTACACAGTCGTTCGATTCGATATACTCCTCGGAGGAACCTTAATGCGACTTAATTGCTACGATGCTCTTATAATTAATCGACCGTCCTCGACGGCGCGTCTTCTCTAAATTATATTATAAAAGGCACTGAAAATTCTTCTAGCAGACTTCCTGTCGTAGAAAAATCGTCTGCTCCGTTCGATCCTTCGTTAACTGCTCGGCGTATCGTATCGTAAACGATCCAGATAAAATTCAATGCCACCGATCGATGGGGTTCTGCATAGACAAAGTTGACAGCGATCGATACGCCGAAACGGTTAACGAGGATCGAACGAGAGTTGTTTGGAGACCGTCGACGATCCAGCGATCTTCGTTTCCGTCTTCGTCCGTTCGCGGGAGGACGAGCTTCCTACAGGAAGGTGCTCCAGTAGACGACGTTCAGGATGAGGAAGGAGAACGGAAAGAAGAATCTGGACACCTTGTCGATGTAGATGGCGGTCGCCCGACCCTGGCAGCAGGTGTCGTACTGCACGGTCACTGGTCTCACTGGACTTCTGCTCCTCTCGGATTCGTTCCTCATAGGCGTCTGTTGGACAACGTCACGTTTCAGACCTCGGAGATTTTTGTAAAAATGCGCTAAACTAATAAACTCGAGAAAATAAATAATTTCATCGAAGCAACGTTGGGAATAGATCTAGTTTATTATCTCTTCGTAGTTAACTCCATTTACCGTTAAGTCTATTTACTTTGCACGAGGCAAAGGAGCTGCGAGTCGAGGCAGCGTTTATCGTGTAAACTCATGGTGATTGCTTTCGCTAGGAGAAGATATAAACGGTGGCTCTTTAATGGAAAGTATTCGCGCAAGACTGTAGTTGCATAATCGCTCTCGGAGTTAACACGTTGACTGCCACGCAACTTTTCACGATTACGGTCTAAGGAGGCAATTTCATTTAATCGTGTTATATTATTAACCCTTTGCACTCGACGATTTTTTGGCTAGAGAATAGTAGAAATTCAAAGATATTTTTTTGAGCAGTAAATAAAGAATTGTAGAATTATTTCACTTCGATACTTCGCACACATATTAATTAATATCGATCTTCCAAATTTTATGAAACGGTGATTGGAGCTCACCTCTCGAATGCAAAGGGTTAAAAACTTTATTCATAGTACGTGGTAATAATCAAATTTGTCGTTAATTTTTTACAATTTTTACTATAAACCAAACCTGATGTTTTCTTCTTTTTCCTGATATTTATACTACGGTGTTGGGCGACTAACGATTCGTTGACCCTTAGTCACTAGAAGGGCCTGGCTGATGAACGCAGACCGATTTTAGAGTCCAAAAGCAATTGACTCATTCCTAATTTCACTAAGGGCTAATGGTTATCTTCACCCCACCAAAAGTTAACATTATATAAGCACCCACAAAATTTGTGAAAGGTCAGTTCAGTCCAGTTCCAGTTTCAGTTTCAGTTTCAGTTTTAGTTTTAGTTTATTCCTCTCCGTCGACTTGTGTTTCTCCAACGTAGCTCTGTTGCCAGAACCCGTATTGTATATTGAAATCCGAGTTCCAAAAACGGGTTTCCTCGTAGCTGTACAGATATGGCGAGTAACGAAGGGACGAGATAATTCGTAGTAGACGTCCTGCATCTCGTAGTTGGCAGTCAACGTGTTAAACGTAAGAACAAAATGGCGCGAATACCTGGCGTAGGTACCCGTTGTTGCGCGACGCGAATTATTGCTTCACCGATTCATTCGCAAATGCGATGAATTATCAAGGCCGCCGCAGAAACACGCGTCTCAAAATTTCTACGGAACCATCGGACCGTACCTAACGGCCAGACTCGAATGAAATTTAGATTAATCTCTGGTTGCTCGGGTTCCTAGGGTTCATGTCTTATTCAAGGCACGCGAAACGATCTTTCTCTCGACCCTTCGTGCACGCAGACCCATAGAAACGGAAAGCTTCCGTGCGTTCCTTTCGAAATGTACCATTTTTCTCCAGGCTTCCTTTATTTTTCTCCTCGTTGCTCGATTTGCTCAATTTTTTAACCCTTCTCAGCCACATTTCCCAAATTAAGAATTAAAAATAACAAATTTCCACTCTCGAATATTATCCTCGAGCAAAGATCATTCTTCTCGAGGATGAAAGGGAGTGGTAGAAATACCTGCGTTTTACGTAGAGCGAAATTTCGAAGGTCTATCTACGAGATTCGCGATGGAGGGACTCTGGAAAGAAATGGTTTCCGGAGGGCCATCTCGTTTCAGACAAAGTTCCCACGAAGTTCTTCACCAAGCGAGTTTCAGAACTTCTTTACTCACCCCGAGTCGAGCTAATTTCGCCGCGATATAATGTTTGTTCTCGCGGATGGGAAACGCATTCAATCGCAGTGGCCGCCATTTTGATGCGCAACGTACGAGTACCTTTCCTCTCTCGCTTCTTCCTGGGCTTTCCTAACCTCTTTCTCGACGCGTTCTCGTATGCTATTTAAACAGCTTTTCCCGTAAAACCGCATCGAGTCAAGGAGAAATTCGAAGGAACGAATAGATGGACCAGAGCAGACTCTTGGTTAGGTCATTCCTCGACATCTCCTTGTCGCGTTTTTCATTTAAAACGCTTAAGAATTAACACTCGTGTCTGTCGAATAGCCAGGTAATTGGGTCAGAATCTTTTCGATTATAGTTTAAAAGTTCGACAATAATAATGCAGCTCGGTGTAATAATAATTTAAATCCAATTTCATTCGGGTATTCCTCCTACACGGCTCTCTTTCAGACTCCCTCCCTTCCGTCCCGAAACCATATTTCTTCCGGTTGCTACTCGACGCGCCATAATTAACGTTTAATTTTATGAAACCAGAACGAAACAGTCGCGGTTACCTCCACGCGAAAGCAACGAGTCGCAAAGCTCCACGGTCTCTGGGAACGCAATTTCGTCTGTGAAAACGTTGAAAGAGAAAATCGACGCGATCCTCGATTCACAGGTGACGCAAGCTGTCGGCCGTCGATACAGCCGGCAGCTTTCCCGGCAAAGGTTACACGCACGGGAACATAAAGAATTTAAAGGCGTCGCATGGCAAACTCACGCTACGCTGCCGCCATTAATTAAACCCTAGCCTCAGCCTCGAACGGCCGCGTCCCGATATTAACCGATAAATAATTAGACATGGCCCTGGGACCGTTTGTTCCGCTCTGAAAATTCGACGTCAAGTTACCACCTTCCCTTCTCCGTTTCTTTCCCCGGGACACTTGGATCTACCGAGATCAACATCGAGAATATATCGCGAGAACTCGCGGAAGTTCGCAGACGTTTTCCCGTTAATCTTCGTTCCTTCGTCTCCCCTTTTTCTTTTTTTCTTCTTTCTCCCCCTAATTTAATGAGTCTTTGAGCGTCACGGAGTTGCCCGACGCCTGTAGAACGGCCGCGTTAATTAAAGTCGCGGCACTTCCGAGGCGCTGAAGTTGAAGTTCCAACTGTGTCAGGTGTTACCAAAGTGTCGGACGTATACCGGATGTCCCGCGATCCTACTCGTCGCGTTCGTTGCGTTCGTTGCTTCCGTGTCTTCCCAGTGCCACGCATTAAACGTCCGACAGGCGGTACTCCACGGACAAAACCTGGTACAGGCTCGCGTCCTCCGCTTTCTTTCCCTTTGTTCGCCTTCTCCTTCGTCTTTCCCGTTTCTTCCTGCGACCCATTGTGCTCCCAAAGGCAGCCAGAACCAGGCTGCATCAATTTTTCGCATCCGTGCAGCCGGAAACCGACGGCTATTTATTATTACCCACCCCGCGCGACGTTCAGAAACGCTTAACCCTACTAATTGTAAGTTCCAGATGCATAATACTCCAGCTGAATGAGAAACGAGAGCGAACCGCCGCAACCGTTCCATGAATTATGCTCGCGGCTGCCTCTGGAAACGGGCCACCACCCTTTGCGCCTCCACCTCAAGGATTTTACGCGAATTTTCCCCCCTTTCTCGACCTTCTCGCTCTGCTCGCGCCGATTTCCCATTTTCTCCCACGTTGCGACACCTTGGTAATTAACACGGATCGAGAATTTACGGCGGAACATGTCAAATCGTCGATGTTAGAGCGATTATGTCAGTTCACGATGAAGGAACGGAACCTCTTTTGTTTCCTTCTATTCGTCAAAGTTATTTGTCAAACATGGCGACTGATTTTCTTCTGACGATTCCCATTACCTATCTCTTCCCACGTTGTAACACCTTGGTAATTAATACGGGTCGGGAATTTACGGTGGACCATGTAGAATCGTCGATGTTATAGTGATTATGTCAGTTCTTGATGGACGAACGGGAATTGCTTTGTCTCCTTTTATTTGTCAAACATGGCGACTGATTTTCTTTTGTCGATTTCCATTCCCCATTTCTTTCCACGTCGCAGCAGCTTGGTAATTAACACGGGTCGGGAATTTATGACGAACCGCGTAGAATCGCCGATACTATAGCCATTATGTCAGTTTCTGACGAACGAACGGAACTTCCTTCGACTGCTTTTATTCGTCAAATTTATTCATCAAATTTAAACATGGCGACTGATTTTATTCCGACGATTCCTCTTGTTCCTTTTCTGATAATCGATAGAGGGCGTGAATTTATCATAGTCCATTCAGAAATACGGCACCTTTGCGTCCTGCTGTCCTTTTCATCTACGCGAAATTTTTCGCCATCACTGGGCCTTGATAATTAGTAGTCACTACGAATTTACAATAGTCTACCTGAAAATGTACAGGTTCTTACGTGTACCTTTTACATCGATACCGCGCGAGTTCTTACAATGTATTACTTCCTGACCTACATCGACAGGGAGTCCTTTGCTCCCTTTCATCCCCTAACATCGAGTATATAGCGATTTTGCTCAGCATTTTTCCCGTCCTCTGATATCAAATTGGGAAATGAATGAAAATTAGAATTCGTACTTTGAATTCGTCGATGGCCTCCCTGAGGTCCTCGTCCGAGTAGCCCTTCATAGCCTTGGTGGCGACAGGGCCCATGTAGTTATTCACGACGGCGAACTCCATGAGCGAGAGGAAGACGAACACGCTGCAGGAGGACATCCACACGTCGATGGCCTTCACGTAAGACACTGGCGGCAGTGATTGCTGGGACTGCGTGTTCTGAGTGGCTGCGAAGCAAGCAACCAAAGCATTTCTTAATCGCTCGATACCACCGGCAGCCAACCACACGAGCCTACGATACCAATTGAATCGACAAACACTACCGTACACGTGCGAGCAAACAACTCGAATTTCAGCGAATTACTCGCGAAACGACGCATTCGCGGCCAGGCCTCGGCGCAAAGAGCAAACGAGCCGCGGCCTTCACGGGCTCTAAAAGCCTGCATGACCGGCCTGAAAGATACAGCCCCGTCTCATTCAACCATCCACCCCGGCCAAGCGTAAAGCCAAACAGACCGCCTCTGAAACGAGCTGCAACCTAAACGGAGCCCGTATCGCGAACTTCGAGCCCACAATTTAAAGACACCTCGTTATCCCGGACGCCGCGCTGAAAAACGCGTGTCGCCTCTCTGTGCCACCCCTGTCCCTGTGCCGTCGATTCGAAAGCAGCCTCTATCTTGAAAGCCACGCGCAGCTCCCATTCGCAAGCTCGAATGCTCGATTTAAAGGCACGGCTCGTTATCTCCGCGAGTATCCATACCTGGATACACGTCCACGTCTGGTACTCGTATACGCGTTGAGCAGAAAAGGCGAGCAGAGGAAACGAGGGAATACGAAGGAGGTTGAAAGAAGAACGGGAAGCAGGAAGAATAGGAAGAACGAGGAGATTCGACTCGAGATGGTCGCCATATCGTATCCTCGAGTCGATCGATCTATCAGCTGGAAAATGGCCGGGAGAATGGCGATGGGATCGGTCGATCCGCTTCCGGAATGCAGTCGCAGGCGCGACGACCTTACCGAGGGTCAGCAATGACGTCACTCCCAGGGTGACCCGGGCAGGGATCGCCTCGGGTTTGATCCAGAACGCGATCCAGGACATCACCACGATCAACGCGGACGGTATGTACGTGTGGAACAGGTGATATCCCAGACGACGTCGTAGATTGAACACGATCTGTATGCACGTGAAGTTACCGGTCGAGTACTCGATCGTGCAGTCGGTCGTGTAATTGTTCGAGATGTCCAGCTGGGGTAGCTCGATCTCTGGATTCACCACCAGAGGATCGGTCATGTTCCAGATGAACACCAGGTCCTGGGTGGTGTGCGACACTGAAAGTAAGCGGGGTTTGAGCGGTAACGAGGCTGCTCCGCGCGCGTCTTCGTCTCTTCGGGCTCAGCTTTGCGTTCCTGTGATTAGCGCGTGGTCAACTGTGGCATTTAAGGCAGAGTTTAGGAATTTCACAGTGCCCGTTTCGTCGTTGCACCGTGATCCACGGGATCCACGAGATTGTTCGTGGGTTTCCTTGACTCGGTATAAGGGACGGAGAAATTCGGATTTGAATTTCGGGGGCGCGAGGATAAACGGGATTGTGGGGTGAAAAGGCTGATTATTGTACGCTAGATCGGGAAGCAGACAGCGGATATTTCGGACAGTACACACTTCGAATAAAATAAAGGTACTCTGCGTATCTCTTGTATCGCGGAGAAGGAAAACACGGGAAATATATCCAGCGACTGGTAGACAAAAGGTTCAAGCGAGTGTTGCTTTTATAAATATTAATACAGATTTCATTTTTCTCGGGCCATGCATAAATTTCAAGCTCTGTTACAGGGAAATAAGTAACGTTGATATAGAGCGTTCGAAATTAGCGACATTTTCAGAGACGGGAATTTAAACGCGTTGCCACGCCGTTAATTAACCTAGAAAAATCGTAAATTGCGGAAAAGCGATTGCAATAAACCGCGGTTTAAATTACCACGCATAAATCCGACCAGCATATGCCGCGCATATGTTTTGCATACATCTTGCGCGTTTCGGGGTATTGTACCTGCGCAAAGATCCGCTGTCTACCGATAAATCGGGACGTATGTCGTAATTGGTCGTTGATTGAACGTAATTGGTCGGGATAGGTTGCTACTATAAATTAACGTGCACGTTACGTACGACTTTCGATCATCATTGAGCAAATTTGCGTGTCGTGAGGGTAGGACTCGAACTTCATCGCGCAGGAGAGGACGAGAGTTAATCTGAAGACAGAGAGAGAAGAAAACACATGGAATTATATGGAATTACACGGAGTAAGAGAATGACGAAAGTGATTTCAATCGAGCTTACTTCGACATGTAAAGCAGAGTCTTGTCGTGATACAGCCATAAATAATGATTGGGTATCGACATCTCGTGGAAGGTGACCTTTTTCGCGTTCTTGAAAAAGCAATCAGGCCTCCAGATATTGTGCAGCCAGTCTACGTCCAATATTCTGTACTCCTCGGACATGTTCTCCGGAAGTCGCAGTCTCGAGTCTCGCCAGCTTTGCGCCAGAAATATGTCCGCAACGTACGTCTACAAATAAGAGCCAGGAAAATAAACTCCGTCAGATTTACTTCCGCGAGACTATCCCCCGAGCTACACCATCCCGAAACCAAATCTCTACGACGTGGGAAAAAATGGAAGAGAATAAACAGGAATAATAAAAGATTCCACGGATATTCTTAAATTCGCAAGATCATACGAGGCGCGAGAAAAAGTAACGCGATTTGTTATTACGATAAAATTTGTATAAAATATTTATTCACTCATCGATATCGATATATTCCCCTATTTTCGCGAGTCGTCGTCTCGAGTCATCGACGTTTCACCCTTTTATTTCCGCGAATAGCGAGGGCGTCGTGACAGCGGCGTTTTCTGGCGAAAAATTCGCGAATCGACAGTCAATGCGCGATGCAAAATTTCCAATAAAGATACGTCGCCGAGCGTGATAAAACACGTCGCCGGTAAATGACAAACTATGCATCCAAAATGGCCGAAAATTGCAACGGCGATAGCAATCTAGTGGCGGCTGCGCGAGAAAGAGAAACGGGTGGAACGAGGAAGAGGAAAAGGAAAATAGGGAAAAAGGAGTAGAACGGAACACGAGTGAAATTCCCGATGTGGCATCGAACCAGCCCCAGAGTCGGGGGTGGTCGCGACGAGCCGCGAAACGAAAGGTCCGCGTGTCCGAGACTTTAACGCCAACTAAAGCTCGAGCAGCGGCGCACTCGTGGCCCAATTTGCATACGCGTTAGCGGCGAAGCACGTGAAAAACGACGCGCAGCCACAACGTTTCGAAAGGTGGGAAACGTCGCAGCCAGCCGAGGCTCCTCGACCCCTGTCTCCTCGGCCCCCTCCCTGTCACCCATTTACACGGTTTTCCCCTCTGTTCGAGGTGTGTACCGTGTGCGCGGGCAGGCTTCCCGGGTCTGGGTTAGGTCTTAATTAAACGAAAGTGCCGGCGGTCTCGCCCCGGCGAAATTACCATAGATTCCTCGTTTATGGAGTCGAGGCTGAGCACCGTCACGTGGAAGTAGACGATGGTAGGCTGGCCCAGGAACTTCGGCGCCCTGTGCTTGTCGTATTGCTTCGGGTTCAAAGGGAGGATGTCCCTGAGCGACAAAGAGGTCTCCTTTCTGCCGTACTCCTCGAGGTCCGACTCCCTGGAAGAAAACAGAGAAGCGAGGAGAAACGAGGCTGACTACGGCCACCCGCTGTACTTCGTCGCCTTCCCTCTCGTCACGGCGCGTCCGCCATTACGGGTCTGTCGTCGAGAGATGTAATGGCGTAGGATGGTCACCTGCCAATGATCCTGCGCAGCTTTCTTTATCGCCCATTCCTGTCATTTCCCTCCATTATTTTCATTCGTTTTATTACTCGATTATTATGCCTTCTTCGATTATTTTTACACCATTTTCTATTTAAAAGGTCGAAGAACATCGCGACGATTTATTACTACTGCTCGACTTTGCTATCTCGATTCCTGCTAAGTTTTCACCCAAGTTTCGAACCAAAGAAGGAAGAATCCGTTTCGTCTAATATATGGAATATTTACAGAATATGCAAATCGGCGAGTGCATCGACATTTTCCCTTTTCCTCGGTACGCGAACTCTCTCGACGTTATTTTCAACGTCATTAGCCACTCGTTTATGTATAGAATATGATAATCCGAGATGATACGAGAAAGCGCACGCACGCGAGTTACGGATCGCGTGACTCGAGCATCATCTTCTCGAAATTTCCTTAAATTTCGTACCCCGTTTGTGTTCTTCGCGGACGTTACGCGATCGTCACGGAAGAATATCAACGGAATTCGCTCGGCGCGAGTCGCGAATCCTTCGTTATCGCGTGTATCACGCTCGCGGATGTTCTCTGTGAGCTGTTCGTACCTGTGAGCAGCGAAAACGCGGAGAAAATATCGGCGGATCGAGCAGATCGGGGACAAAGGAAGTCCACGAACGGTGAGCGAGCGGGACTCTAAAATATTGGCGCGATTCCGATGAAACAGCAATATCGCAGAAGCCATAATAGGTCTTCGTGCTTGGCACACCTTTAGGTCCGGCCGCGATACGTGTGTTCCTTACATGCGGACATTTTAATATGCTAACCTATGACCTCTTGGCCCGAGAATTTCCACTTTCTTACGACGCTATTCACGCGAAAACCCTTTTGGTCCTACCCCCGCGCGATTTACTCGATTTTCACTGTGATATCGTTCGACGTCAACCGAACTGTCAAGGGACATTGACTCCTCGTGCTCTGACCCCTAGATCTTCGATCGACTCTCGATCTACGACGGTAAAAGAGGATCTAAAAGCTAGGATTCGCGGAGATCTGAACATTTTTCCCCGATCTTTTACCGATCTGCGATTTAATCGTCGTCTTTCGACGTTGGCTACGCTGGTTGCCTTCGATTAGGGGTTACAGAGGTCTAGAATATTCCGGAGAAGTGGAGGATCTTGACGGATTATCGGAAGGAGAGGATCGGAGATGGAGAAGGAATGGCAGAAGGGTGTATCAGGAGCGATTATCGAGTTGATAAGCCGCGATAAGAGGCGGTTCGCGCGATCGACGCGCGTTTATCCGGACACACGACTCGGGTGGACTGATGTCAAACGAGCCGTGGCGCCTTATAGCGCCGCGAAACCTGCCAAGCCGATAATCCACGGCAAGACTTCCAGGCGTTTCCTTCCGATTTCTCCGCGCCGCGACGTCGATCGCGGAAGCTCCAGCTTCGACGTCGCGACGCTCCCATCGGCGGCGTCCGTCGAGACGCTTCGACCGAGCGCGGACGTTCGCGAGAAATCGCGATGCAGTCCGTGGGAAAGCTATGTTCTAGAAGAAGGAAGGACGTTTAGGGGGCGTTTGGGCGTTTCTCCTTTCACGGGGATGGAATGGAACGACGAGCGGTAAGGTGTAGAGTAGCGTGAAGGGGGGTGAAGAGAAATTGTTTGATGATGTCTGATCATTTGGTGCGTTACCTTTCGATCTTCGGAAAGAACCGGTACCCGCGCTTTCTCGCCGAAAGTCGAAACGTACTGGACGATAGGCTATCGACTTTAATATGCCAGCCTTCGACCTCCGTGGAAAGTACCGGTTCGCATATTTCCTCGCTGAAACTCGACACAGGCGCGGGTGATGCTGGGGCAGCTTCGATCGTCGCCATGCTTTGCAACGAGAACGAAATTACCGGGGAACTTTGGAATCGCGTCTTCTCGCCGTTTTCTTTCCTTTTTCTCTTTTACGCTGGCCGCGAGAACGAAATTAACCGACGAGGCATCGATTGGCGTCCAACGAGCCGACTTGCAAGGGAATCGCGGATTTCGCAACGTTCCGCGACGGTATGTTCGTTCTTGCAAATAGGCCACGATATCGTCCTCGAGATCGCGTTAATTAGCGATCGAAAGAGAGCGAGACAGTGAAAGAGAGAGAGAGAGAGAGAGAGAGAGAGAGAGAGAGAGAGAGAGAGAGAGAGAGAGAGAGAGAGAAAGAGAGAGAGAGAGAGAGAGAAAGAGAATATGAGGGAGATAGAGAGACGCAACGAGACGGAAGACTCGAGAGATTTCCATCGATCTTGGCTCGAATCGATCCACGGGCGAATTACGCGCGCGAAATCTCTCCGCCTTCGATCAAGGCTAATCTCGAGTGTTCTGCCCCGATCGCGGCTCTTATAGCTTCCATGCTTGTTCGCCTACTCACGGAAAGTGTAGGGCTGCCATGTCAAAGAGCGTGTACAGGTAGCAGCATAGGATCACCAGAGAGTGCCTCGTCATTCCTGAAACAAACGTTCGCCCGGAACGATGTCAATGAAGCGGGAACGACAGGGGTTGCGCGGACGAAGGAGAACGGTGCTCGTAAAAGCCGCCGTCCGACGTCGGAAGAAGGCGATTTCGGGACGAAAAAGCGCATCGACGCGCGAGCCAATCGAGAGGGGAAGTTTCGAGAAGCGGACTGCCACGATTCGACGAGGAATCCCTCGCGTCATGGGGTTTCCATCGGCGCAGCACGCGAGAATTTAGGTCGAGCTCTGTTTTAAACCTCGCCGTTAGGACACCCCCGTGTTCCTTCCTCGCAGGCAGAATTTTTCCTCTTAATCGAAGCGCGGAGCGCGATGCACGAGGCACGGGAAAACGGGGCGAGGCTTTATCGAACCGAATGCGGGGCGAGGTTGGAACGAAAACGCGCTCGGTTAACGACGAATCGACGATCGCGAGCAAACGTCCCCTCGCCGCCACGCGTGTCCATCGATCGACGCGGAATCCGTAACGCGCGACCAGTTACCATCCGCGGAAGCTCGATCGCCACGCTTCTCCGAGGGGCCGTTTCGCCAGAGCGAAATCCCGAACCCAGGGATCCGTCGGTGTCCTCGAGTCCGAGCTACGATCCACGATACAGACTCACCGATCAGCTGCACATTCTACCGTGCCGATCTTCTTTGTCCAGTCGACCAGCTGGCGCACTTTTACCCCCCTCGTGACCAGCCCCGAATTCCTTATCACGGCAGCACAGCCAGCTTATCAGTCCAGCAGCCACGTCCGCCGCGAGTTCCCTCGAATATCCATCAAAGTCGACAACGCGCGTCGATCTGCGACGACCACTCGGATCCCCGAACGATCATCGGGTTCTCGATCCACCAATCCGGCAACCTCGTGTCCCTCCGTCTACCGATGCTCCTACGTCCCCTGCAGTCTGCCACCCCTGTGATGATGTCCCCTACTGGGGTGTTCCCGCAGGAAGCGGCGCGCGGAACGGAACCAGAGGCCGATCCGAACGAGACGTCGCACTTCCCTGGCAATTTCACCGGTGCCAATTTCGGGCCACGATTCGTCGAGGAAACCCCAGCAAGGATCGGGGACACGGCGCGACTCTTATCGGCGAAGGGTTGATTCGCCACTCGGCCACTGGCCACTGTCGGGGCTTGCTGGTTCTGTAAACCACCCTGTCGGTCGCTGCCTCTAAGCCAATTTGCCTATCGACTAACTGATTAAGCCCTACTCTCTTTCATCGTGGTGGACGTGGACTCGCTATACTGGACCTACCTACCTACCCTGCCCGACACCGCGTGTGCCTCTCCGCGCGTCCGTGTCGATACACTTACGCGTTCCCACACGACCAGCACCGCGTCTGCCTCCACGGAGAGTCTGCACCAACGTGTCCACGCACGAGATACCATTGCCCTAGCTCTAGGACCACGCTGCGGCTCATTTGCCTGCGTTTTCTTGCCCCGCAACGCTGCAACCCGCCGCTTTTTCCTACACCCACCGGTACCAATGGACTTTCCGCATCTCTCCTCTCCGTTCCGCTCCGTGCTACCGATAATTACGTAACCCGCGTAATGCCGTGGCGAGGTAGCCGCGTTGCGATCCGAGCCTCGTGGACGCGGTTCATCTTCGTTTTGCTAAACCCTTCGCCGTTTAATTTCCGATTCGCGCATGCCGCGCAGCGAGTCATCGATTTCCTCGATTTATATACGACAGATCAAAGTCTCGATCCTATCGATAGTATTCTGAATTGATTTCGACGTTGGAACGCGTAGATCGTTCGATTGCCGTTGCTCTGGATCATCCAGAGCAAATAGGACACGCGAGTTCCGTTCGAAAGACTGTGGTGGTTGCCCCGTTTCAGGGGCAGCGTTTAACCAACTATTCGACTTTTATATTAAGTCCTGTCCCAACAGTGAGAACAGTTAGGTGCTCCATTTCCGGTCAATGCGTTCTACCGATTAATAGACGAAAAGTCTCTTAAAATCCGCCTCGTCTCGCTCGCTCAACCAATTTTCCCGTAATTTTCGCGATACACGCATCGTGTCTTCCTAGATCACCTGACGTCGCGAAACTTTCCTCAGTTTCCTCTCTGCGAGTGCACGCTTGGTTAATTCCGTGTCCCACGGAACACGCGTGTATTTCCGGTTCCCGAAGTTCCCGTCTCTCTCGCGAGTGAATTCGAGCACGAGCTGAACTTTTCGAATATTCTTCCGCTGGCTGTCGAGTATTCGCTGTTTGCCAATTTGCGAATAAATACGCTGGAATTACCCGAGACCTCGTGCTGTAATAACCGGTTCGTTTACTCTCACAGCCAGTGAAAACGTCCGTACACAAGCCCGGCGGACGTGTGTGCTCACGTGGATGTTATTGGATATAAATATCCGTACGTGGTCGGTTATGGCACACACGCGACTGTATCGAGTGTACATGCGAGTATCGATACCCTCCTGGTCTAATGAGATTCAACGGAGGCGCGAGTACAAACGAAGAGGGATTTCCGAGCGGATCCCATCGATCGACTCCGGTGTCAGGATCCAGTGATTCTTCGATTACTCTTCCACGAACTGACCCTGGATAATCATCCGGGGCGTGGGTACCGCGAGTCAGGGATCATCGAGAGCGGACTCGGGAGGAAACAATGCCGTTAAAAAGGAATCGCGAGAGGAAACGTAGGCGGCGCTATAAGCGTCGGTAAACAAGACGCAACGAGGATATCCTTCTATTCCTAGTGGATCGATCCCTCGGATCGATCGTCGAAAATAGCCGGATCTCGATGTCTGAGTCACTGCGTCAAATTTGTATTTTTAACCGGTCATCGAGGCCTTTTCGGCTCGAGGCGTTGTCTGGCCTCGCGAACTCGCTGTTCCTCCGCTTCCAGGGTAATTATAATAGAAGACAGTCGCACGGTAGCGTGGAAAGAACACCGGTATATTTTCACAGAAAATAAATCGGTGCTCTCTCGAGTAATCCGGACCGCGGCGAGATATACGCGGTCGTTGAACTAGTTGAACTCGCCCCCTGATTAATCATCCCGCGATCGTTTCTTATCGATTCGCTTTTATCGACTTTAATTCCTCGGACGTTTCATAAATTTCCAAAGATTTAACCGAGAGCCACCCTTTTTCCGCGAATCCCTGCGATTTATCATCGTAATACGACGCAATTACAGACGAGGCAACTGGTACTGTGTATTACCGGGTTTTAATCTCTTAAACCGCCCGTTGATTCATCTTCGAGGATCGATTCGATTTATCGTTGTAACGCAGAAGGAATAAAGAAAGAAAGAACAAAGGAGAAGCTTTTTCATGCCGTTTTAAAAATTCCCTGATACGTTCAACCTTGTCTCCATCCAGGGGTAGCGCTCGTGGCTGGTAAATGCTGGAGGAAAAAAATTGTCTGGGTGAATAAGAACGACGATGGGGTGGAAGAAACCGCGGACAGGCATGCTCGTCTAACCCCCTCGAATCCAATTATTCGACTCGCGAGTGTTTTGACAGTTCGCACGGTTAAACGTGCAGGGTGCCAGCAGCCGATGTTCGCAGGCTGAAATATACCTTTAAATCCTCTCTCCGCTCGGCTGGCAGCCAGGGGGTAAGTGGGGTTAAGCTGGCCTAGTCGTGAGGTCGTGTCAAACACAATCGTAAGAGGGATGTTACCGGGTTATACGCGTACTGGGCGTTTCATAAATTCCATAACGCCTCCTTTGCAGCAGCGTAAGATCATTTGCGTGGTTACGTCTGCTCGCGCGAGTCGCGTGCCCTGCTCCGTGTACGTGACACCCCTCGGGGGTGAGACCGGATCGATCTCGAGCGCCGATAAATATTTTCCTTCCTGCCTCGTATCCTCGAAATTCTCCAACGATTCTGGAGCACGGATTCTCGGGCGAGGATCTCGCGAAATTCTGACATCTCGACTCGAAGCCCGAGGAATCCCGGAAGATTACTCGAGGCGGAAAACGGGAAGGAAAATATTGTCGGCGTTCTTCTGGGATTTTTAACGAAGGAATCCTTAGGTGTGGCACAGTTACACATTTCATTCAGGCGTCCCGCGGACCGATTCGCGTTTGCGTTTGACCTATATGCGTTTGCGGTCTGCGTCCGTGCACGCGTGGACGCACGTCCAAATTGGACGATCGATCCGTGGCCTAGGTGGACGCGCGATATCGATACCGCGGCCAGGCCTCTGAACGTTCGATTTCACCGTGTCACCGTTTCGCCACCAAGTGTTTTCCCAAGCCGCGAGCCGAGCTGACAGGCCGAGCCTGCTCCGCGAACAGTTGCACGATTCGATTAAAGCCCGCGACAAACTTGCGCGAGCAAGACCAAACCGTTCGTTAGCTAACGACCGTTGGCTGGATTTATGGCTCGAGCATGGTGACAATTTCAGGGAGGTAGGATGGAACACCCTTACCCCTTCGGGTAAGATCGATTGGGTCGCTGGCAGACGCCTCGGTTTCTTCGTCTTCGTCTACGGGAGCTCGCGCCGCAAAGGTTACTGCTAACGAGCGAATTCGCGAGGTAATCGGGAAATAAAAATTGACTTAAAAGGATAACTTATAGAGCGTATAGTGAGAACTTAATTAGCCGGGTTAACTTGATAAGCGCGCGAGCAATCGATCTTAGCCGGGGGTGGAAAAAGCTGTAAAATCTATTAGCGCCGTTCGGGTTATCGTGAGGTGGAATGAGAAACTCGAGCAGCGCTTTTATAATTTCAGAGGCCCTGGAGGGCCTGTTCGTATTTATTTACCAACGCCTCGGCAACTCGTTAGTCGTCCGTATAATAATATTATAACAAGTACTCGCGCTCTTGTTCGCATCGTCCACTCGCACGCTCACGCACCCTCCACTTCAATATTCTCTGTTCTCCCCCTCATTTTTATCTATCGTACACCCTCGCCACCCGCACCGGTGTGTCGTTTAATTTTATTATTCTTTTATTTTCGTTAATATTCGTTCCCTAGACGCCTCGTCGCTCATATCTTTCCTCCTATTCCTCCGCCTCGACGGTTTGCTCGCGTTTCTTTAAGCGGCTCGTACGCTCCCCGAGCGGCTCGTTGTTCGAGAACTCGCCGGAAATCATCGAGGCATCGATCATGGCGGAAAACGACGTCGATGGCCGCTCGAGGACCTTCGTCGATCGTTCCGCGTCATTTAGGTACGTGTACCTTCGTGTATATGCATATGTATATTATGTATATTCATATGTATATATATATATATATATGTATATATGTATATGTGTACTTATGTATAGGTATATACAATCAACGTTACATCGGTATCGCACTAGAGGGTTAGTCGAGGGAGGGTTCGTTTTTCCGAAAGGGGTATCCCAGGGGTGTCTTTTAAATTCGCTTCCCCTATTCCTCGCGCAGGAAGAATTTCGAGCTGACTAGATTTAAACGAAGTTTCGTTACGGTTTCGCGTTAATCGCCATTAATCGGCATTAATCGGGGTGGACTTTTCCGTTCCATTTCCTCCCCGATTATGCGCCATTATCGTTGTCCATTAGTAACTAGAATTACGATGCGGATCGCTAACAACCCCTCGTCCATTGTCGCGTTCGTTCTATATACAAGCAGACATTATCTCGAGGACACCCCCGTTGGAACGTTGCGGAATGATTGATACTCTTTTGTTCCTCTAAGGTTCGATGTTCGTTTCCGTTGGTAATTCGGTGAATCGAGACAAACCGTGCCTTTCGCCATCGTTTCTGCCGTTCCGCGTCGTACAAACGACGCGGTCGGAGCGGAATATCAATCGCGTGACGGCTTGTTTATTAGTCTATTAATTTTCATTCCGGCATCTCGTTGGATCGAAGCAGAAAGCGGTCATACACAGGGTTTCCGGGCACACACACACACACACGCGCGCGCGACGATACACGCAAGAACACACTCGCACCCTCTCGCACACGGTTGCGCACACCTCGTGCACGTTTCGAGTATTTGCGGGGAGCTGGAACACGTCCCCTTAAGCTTCGTTATCCTCCCCCTCGTTTTGTTTTCCGTTCTGCGTGCGAACCGAGAGAGATCTACTGAAAGCGACGTCCCACATTTGCGTCTTCTACGGTGACCTCTTAGAAACGTCTGGTAAGCATCCCTTCGTCGAATATTCTCGCGGTGGAAAAGCGGCGCCATTATGCCTCGCCGTGGACATAACTCGCCTAGCTCGCGTCGAACATAATTTTCTCCATCGTCGTTCGAACGTTCGAAGGTAATTTCCCCATAGGATCCTCGGGATTATGTCGACAGCGTGATTTCGTGGATGATTTTCGATATGTCCGAGGGGAGAGATAGGTTTAAAGGCAGGCTGATACGCGCTCGATTCGACGTGGCTTGCTTACGAGACGAGAGGTCTGTTTAAACTTGGCGGTCGTACGTGGATTTACGTGTGTCGTTTAGGAAGGATCAAGCATCTTGAACGGTGCGCTACTTAAGTTTACGTTACATAACCGTACGTTTTATATTACCCGCGTGGCCGGGGTCAGAGTGCGTTTCAAGTAATAAAATATATGTATATATATTATGTATATATATATATATATATATATGTATATTATGTATATGTATATACGCGCACGGGTATATGTATAATTGCGCGCTTAGTAAGTGTCAAGTGTGTAGTCGGAGGGGTTGAGCTTTCGTTCTGATTTACCGACGGAAATGTCCGGGGAATTACCGTCTCCCGGGAGAGACTCAAAGCGAATTGACATCGATACTTTACGCCAAAGTTAAACGATCACCCAATCATTATTATTATTTATTATTATTATTATTAATATTAGGGAAAAAGCGATTAAGATAGCGTAGGTTGAGAAGACAGTACGTTTTAAAAAATTCGGACGAAATTCGCCGATGAAAGAAATAAAACGCCAAGAAAGACAGAATATAATATCCGCCATCGGTACAACCATTGGTGGATGGTAAAAAAGTCCCCAAAGTTGACGCAGCCTGGTCGGTATCGAGAACTCTGCCCCGATACCGAGAATGAGGTAGTTCTCCACGAAACTAGTTACTAAAGCAGGAGAGATACTCGGCGACGATACGTTTCTCGCGGTCGGTAAAACAGGAACGTTTCCAGTGAGCTTACTTACTACCTAAGGAATCGAATACGAGAGGACCACGCGGGTATGCCCCGCGTGGAAAATCGATTTCTGACCCCCGCCACATTTGTAGCGTTCTCGCCTCGCGGTGATACACCCGCGATTAGTTTTTAAACGTAGCGATTGGCGTCGATATGCCGGTGCAGTGTTGCCATGTTCAGGTCTTTTCTCCCCGCGGGGTTTCCCCCTAGATGTCTAGGGAGTGTCTCGAACGAGTTCGGTCGGTAAAATTATGAACGCGTTAGCAGAGATTCGAACCGAATTTCATTCGACTGGACGAAAAGAGAAAAGGATCAACAAAATAGTGTTTTTTATCCGTAAAAAATCGCGAATTGTTTATCTGTCGCGGAGAAATCCCTGAAACGATGGCAACGGAGCGCGTTGGAAAACACATCGGGTGTTTCCTGTGTGCCTCCACGTTCGAAAAAAGCATCGAAAAAACTGAAGCTACGTGAAACCAGAGTAAAATCGCTTATTGGCTGGCCATTTCTAAGAGGCCTTGATATGTTCGATTGGAACCACCGTGTCTTTTCAAGAATTGTTTTTCGTCCACCTCGCGTTCGAGGCGACGCGGCGTGGCGCGACTTTTTGAAACGACGTTTGGTCGTTTTTCGTCTTTTTTCCTTTTTAAACACGCTTGGCGTTTGTTCTGTAAATTATTACGATCCTGCTTTTTTCGCTAAGCTCTGAAAACTTTTCTCGAAACCTGAAAACAACGGCGTCGCTTTTGTAATCGTTTCCGTATGAGTCTTCGTACTTTGCTCTCGGTTAACAGAAAAATGCAATCGTTTGTACAAAGTGTCGATAGAACGAGTAACTTTAATACACGGATATGTTTGAGCGTCGAGTCTCGACCTGTGTACCGTGATGGATAGAATCGGACAGTCATACGAAGACTCACGAGCGCAACTTATTGGAAGAAACAACTTATTGCCCGCCATTTTTCTCCACGATTCAACACCCGACACACGAACTCGTTCCTTCCATCTTTTCTTCCTCGTACATCTTCTTAATTATCGCGGTAGGATTATCCCTGTTCGTTTTCACGGAGCACGGAAGTGTGCGTAACGACGTGAAAGGGGAGAAGAGGAAACGCAAAGAAGAAAATCGAAGCGAATAGTAAACGAGATATACGATTAGGCCACACGAAATTCTCACGTAGCTGCCGAACATTACGCGAGACTGCTAGATGTATGTACAATTGTGCTGAACGTAAATAGCATAGAAACTCGGGAACGATCGCGAACGTGTGCGTGTTTGGTGCAGCTTCGATTCTCGTGCCACGGTACAACCAACGTAAATTTGTGCATACGTTCCGTTACACCTAAGGACTTTAGAATCTTCTCTTATCGGCGCGACAAGGTACTTTATAAGCGGTCGTCTATCGTAGACAAAGTCTTCCGTGCTTCGCGAAAGAAAAGACACACACGCACGCACACACACTCATACATACACGTATGCACACTCGATTCCCCGTTCGTTTTTCCAAACTATTCGGATCGCCGGCGTGAAATCGATCCTCCCGTGCTCTCGCAGCAGAGATCGTTCGTTCGTTCGTTCGTTCCGCGATAAAACGGTTCAGCCATTCGTTCCCCTGCAGGGCCGAGATTTTCCACGCGAATTAACATATGTATATACGCGTTACATTTATAATACGATTTCTTCTACGTGCGTGTTATGTATAACGTGACATTTATACATTTCGCCCCGGCTACATCACCCATCAGCCCCCACCCACCCCCCGGTTTTTGAGCGACGTGCCCGTGGATCGTAAACTTTATACATTATTGCTTTGCCGATAGCCACGTCACGTACCTTCGACCCGGCTCACGCTCGTTCCATTTCCCGTCCAAATTCTACTAATTACACGTACGCGTTCCGCCGGCTTTTTCGCGACTCCAATTTTCCCCCCGATTTCGCGATCGAATCGTTCACCACCCGCCGCGAGAAAAAACTCGAGACGTTGACGCGACAAATTTCAGACGAATCTCGGGATAAAGGTCTACACTTTCCTTTCGCAACATAATCTCGCTCTCCACGTGTCTTTCGTTCAGAACGAACGCGAGTCGGGATCCTCTTCGAACTTCTTCGCGCCTCTTTTTACACGACTGGCGCGCGGAACGCAGCGCGCAATTAATTCTGCTAAATCGACGAATCTTTCGCATTCTCGGATCGTCGACGATACAACGTCGTTGCTTTTCATCCTCGCCCCGATCACTCGTCGGCATCCCCTTCCGTTTCGCGCGTTTCATCCGAGATCGTGACTAACTCGTAACACGTTCTCGCGAGATACACCAGGCATAACGAACGCCTGTCTCGTTCGAAACTCTTCTTTTTCACCGGCTCGAGACGCGACTTCCTGCTTGGCAAGCGGAAGCTAAGCCTTCATCCAGCCGCCATACATTTCCAACCCCTTTGTCCTCGAATTGACTTTTGCTCCTCCTCTTCTCCGACTTTGTACATTCTCCTGTTTCGCTATCTCGCGATCGAAGGAGACGATCCAGCTTTAAATATCCCTTTAAAATTTCGTTCAATTTAACCACTTGCGGTGGCAAGAAGTTCAGAGGCGCGTGAATTTGTGCCAGAACGGTCCAATGGTGTTTCTGTAACAATTTCCCAACGACGTGTACACCACGTCATTGACGATTCTGCGACAAAAGCATTACGACGTGCGTGACACGTGATCACGTGACACGACAGCGCAAGTGGTTAAAGAAGAAAACAAAAATTGAAGAATTACGTTGGTCGAATTTTATCGGGGGGGAATAATAAATCGTGTTAATTTCGAGATGTCGCGGAAAGTTTCGCGCGGGAACAATTGCGAATTTGGAAAATGGCAATTCGAGCGGCAGGCTTTCCGCTTCCGAGATTACAATCGAGCCGACGAGCGAAACGAGGAGTTTTACCACTGAATAATTTGAGGTCGTGTATTTCTGCGTCGTTTGTAAACGTCACGCGTCCCGGGAAGCTGTTTAGAAGTTTGCCCGGTTTTCCGCTTCTTTCTCTTCTCTCCGCTGACAAATCGACCGTTTTGGAGCGGCTGTCTCTCGCGCGCGCTCGCTCGCGTACGCGTGTGTGCGCGCGTAACATCCGCGGAACGGCCGAATTATCGCGACCCCCCGACATCGTAATACTCGACTCGGGTCAGCTTTATCGCGTCACGGGTTAAAGCGTAATTAAACGGATCGGGTCGTTCCTCGAACGTCGTACGAAACGCGCCATAACCGGTTCGATCCTACCTCGAGCTTTTCATTTTCCATTTTGCCCCCCTTTTCTTCTACTACATTTTTCCCCATTCTTCGTCGAAATCGGAATTCACAACGAACAGCGCGAGAAACAGCCGTTTCCTCTCTTCTTACCTTCGCTTCTATTACATCGTTTTGTTACAATTCTATTTAACAATCTACAAGTTATCTACACACTCGAGCCTCTTGCGATATGCCTCAAAACGCCCGTTAGATTTAGCTCTGAACAACGTTAATAAACACCTAATGGTCCGATACAGGAGGAGCGTTCGCGTTTTCTGCTAGCTTATTATAATTACACGGTAAATTAGCGCTTGTCATTTACAGACTCTACGGTGCTTCCTTTATACACTCGCTGCCGCTGCGCGCGATCGAGGAGCCGATTTTTCATCGCGCCAACGAAACGGGAAAAAAGCGAACCGAATATCCCCTCGCGGTGGAACGGTTGAAAGAATTCGTTTAATTTCCAGCGCGACGTCGATTCCGAGCCGAAAAAGTTCGCGGTGTACCGCCATGCAGGGCCAGATTTAATGGAAAAAGAGCGGAAAGCAGGGCGGAGGGGGGAAGGGGGAAAGGGAAAAAGGAAAAGCCGTGATCGAACCGTGACCCGGTGTCAAAACTCGAAGAGGTCTCTAGGAAAACTACCCCCCCCGATGCTTTTCCCTGTCGAACTGGGCCACGGTATCAGAGGCGACCCTCGCGAGGCCAGTTGGAGAGCTGCAGCTAGCAGCTAGTAGCTAGCGAGTAGCAGAGGGCGTGTGTCGCGCGCGATTCTAATCACCGAGATCGTTTCGGGGTCTGGCTTGCAATATCGTCGCTGATCCAGCAGCGAGAGGGTAGGAGAGCCACGTGTTTGGATCCACGCCCATTCTCTGCATATGGGATCCCTCTTATTATTGGCCACGTAGCCGTACGAGAGGGCTATTTCGTTGCTGTCGCGCGATACCGTACCGTGTGGAGCAATAAAAATCCTGGCCCTGCGCCGCGTGCATCTCGCGAGAAATCGAACCCCTAGTTGCGAGAAACGACGTCGTGACGGAAGCTCTCTCTCTCTCTCTCTCTCTCTCGCTCTCTCTGCCTGTCGTCGTTAAGGACTAGGTTAAACTACTCGGAACGGTGAACACGGTGATCACGGGGGTGGGACAGGGTTGACAGAGGGTGGCTGGCGAGATTCGCGGTTTCAAACGAACGGAGAATGGAATTAAGGATTCGCCGGGAGCCGGAAAGGAGGAACGGGATTAGGAGGTCGGCTAAAGCGAGAACGATCCTCGATCGCGGCAACGAAGCAAAATTCTCTACTCGTTTGATCCACGAGGCACGAAGATTAGAGCCCCGTTCGATAAATTGCGACTTCGACGTTCGTTGATGATCCAACGGCCACGTGGGCCGTCGCGAGCGGTCCTCGCCGGTTTTCGCTCTTCGGAGACGCTCGTGCAGCTTTTTCTAGGCGTTCGAGAAATTTCAGTGGTCTCGATAGGATACGGCTGTCGGTCGTTGGTGTCACGAGGCGACCAGGCACGTCGACGTCGATCGAAACAGGCTGAGCAGCAGGAGGATAGTGACCAGCAGCAAACTCGACGACCTCGACAGACCCCCGACCTCGTTGCTGTACGGCAACTTGACCTCGACCTCGGCTATCTTGAAGATCGACAGCAGCGGATGCGTGTGGACATCGTGATGCTTGTTGTTGATCTTGTCGCTGAGATCCTGCAGCATCGAGGCGCACTCCTCCTGCGAAACGTAGAGGAATCGTTAGCGAGAGTATCCCGGGGTCGACGAGGACTCGGGGGCGGTGGGGTTATGAAATTTGTACGCCATAGTCGGGGGGCACGGAAACGGGAGAGCGGGATTCGCGGGGTTGAAGCGCCATAATTTACTTGCTCTCGGATACACCGATATCATTAGTTATCGTGGAAGGGACGGATTAAATATCGAAATTCGATGGAGATATAAAATTTAGCGCACGTCTGTGTTCGACAGAGAAAGCCGAATGCGGCTTTATCCGCGGCGCGATGTCAATAGCGTCTCGATAACCGATCAACTTTGATCCCGGATATATGCGTGTCCAGGAATGGAAAATACGACGTGACGGATTTTGCATCCGCGTAATCGTAATTTATAGCGGTTCTAATTATTTCACGCGGACAACGCGCCGCGCATTCGGAACATTCGTGGATTCGTCCGCCGTTATCGTAATGATTTAATTAAGCGGAACGATAACACGCCTGGGTGGGAATGCCGGATTTCCCTTGTAATCAGAAATTAAATCGCACCGCGTAATATCGCCGGGGCCTGAAAATTTTCCCGCCTTTTGTCCCGGCCGTTCCCATTGTAACGCCCGCGGCCCGACATCCTTCGCCGCGCGGCTATTTCAGATAACAAGTGCTAATTTTTCCGTCGTTGCGCTTAAGCCGCGGCACGGCCTGCGCCCGGGGAAATTATACTAAATTAACAATAACAGGATCCCTTTGTGCCGCGGCCGCGAACCGCTTCCTCGCCCTTATAAAACACCGTGCTCGTGGTTTATTACTTCGAACAAACTGCTCTCCCATCCACGTCGCCCTCTCCTCATCGCCCTACGCCGCCGCACTCGGTCGGGTTTCTTTTCTCGTTCGCAAGGAAAACCCCGCGCAGCACTCGCGTCCGCTTCGAACGACGCCGGGGAAAGTTCTCGGCGAATTAATAAACAGGGTATTGTGTTTTGCCAGGGTTAAATTTGGAACTGGGTAAAGACGCCATCGGGAGATGCAGAGTTACTCGAGCTTACGCCGTTCGCCAGGCAATTCCTCACCGGTAGCCTAAATTATTTTTGACCCAATTTACCCCTCGGCACGAGCACTCGGGATCGAAATAAAAGCGGGGACGAAGAGAGATTAGCACGGGGCAGATCGTCGACAAGGGGGAGCGCCTATAACGCGATTTTAATTCGCTCCGACTTGGAGATCCGGCGAATAATTAAGTCCGTTTCAAGGTCGCATTAGCTGAAAAGGGCGTGTTTCACGCGCTCGCGAGCACGCTCGTAAAGTTTTTCCATCCCCCCAGGGGAGTGGAAAGCGTCCCCCTAAACGTTTCCTTCGGGGATCCCTCGATATCGACTTAACGACGCCGAATGTAACTCGTCCTGGCGTACTCCCGGGCTCTCCGTGCGCATCGATTTCCATTTTCATCCCCGGTATCACTTTCTCCCTTTCCCGCTCTTCTTCACCCCCCGGGTTTCCTCCTTTTTCCTTTCGCCGCGCCTCCTCTTCGCCTTCTTGTTCCTCGTCCCCGAAATTACCCTCGGCTCGTTGAATCTTTAATTTCCGGCGGAGGCGAGACCGAGGCCGGAGCGATTTTTGGCGATATTTTCCGACGACCAGGCTGCTGCGCGCTATCGCGCCACGCTCTGCGACGCTGTGCGACGCTGTGCGACGCCGTGCGCCACGTGGCCCGACCAGCAACGCGACCCGACGCCCACGACGTCAATGCCGCGCCGCTCCGTGTCCCTCTTCGACCTCTCCTCTCCCATGGAGCACGAGCTTCGTTCGTTCGTTCGTTTCGAAGCATCGACGTCGGATTTTCAATGAAATTAAATTCCAACCGAAAGGAGAGAACCATCCACTATGCCCGCCGCGCGCCACCCCCCGCCATTCCCACCCACCTGTGCCCTCCTCCGCGCACCCTTTCGAATAACTTTTCGCGAGTACAGAGGGCCCTCTAGTCCTTTAAATTATCGATGCACCGGGAATTCGTTTTTCCAAGTAGGTTTGCCTCGCTCTTCCCCGATCCACGCGATCCATATCGACTCGATCCGGCGTCTGACGCGAGCCTGGATATTTCGAACGCACCCTCGTCCCCGCCCCTCGATGCCGGACATTATTTCCGCCTTCCGTTTCAACCCTTTCTCTATCAAGAATATTTTCTCCCCGCGTTCCCCTCTTCACTGTCACGCGTTCAACCCCTTTGCCCCCGTTTTCTTCTTTTCTCCCGTACAAGCGTTTCGCCGGATATCACTGTACAGGCTATCGCATTTCCGCCGAAGGGTTGGGAATTTGATACCCGCCACGCTCTAGCGTGCTTCGTCGAAATGCCAGGGTGAACGAGAACCGGGAAGCGAGACGATCCTTCCAGCACGAATTTCGACGGTCGTTCGGTACTTGTTTGCGATATTTATCTCGCAGTTGTTCCACGAGAAATTTGGAAAATCGAGAAAAATCCCACGGCCTCGCTCGATTCCTCGCCGCAATTGAATACACCCTCTGTGAACATCCCCGAGTAATAACGATCCGCACTCCGCGAGCTCGGAATCCGGGACAATAACTCGTTTTACGCACTGGCCAATGCTAATTGTACCGTGTTGTGGCTTAATTATCGAATACGCGAACCGACCTCGAATTTCGTCGGAGCCGCCCTTCTCTCTTTTCCCGCGGTGCCTTCCCAACTACCGCCATTACTGGCCAAAAACTGTAATAAACTCGATTGGCTGCGTGATGGTATCGCGATGCAAGGACTTCGCGATCGTGAATACCCCCGATTGTGAAGCACCGCGATAATTGCACGCCGGGTAATAATTAACATCGCGAATTCCTGTAATTACGGATCGCGAAAGGGCATCGAACGGCGAAGAAAAATTTCTGGAATACACGTAACGTCGCTTTGACGTCCTTTTACTAAGGACCCTGCATTTTAGGCAACGAAGTGTCTCGAAATACAGTATAATATTGCAGGATACTATTTCGGGAAATTATTTCAGAGAAACTATTGAGATACGCAATATACAAAAATTAATCTGTTAAGAGAAATAGATATATCTTTAAACTATGCGTCGAAGAGATACCGGGAATGCGTGAAGTGTTTATTTCACGCGTTAGATAAGAATTGAGGGACCAGGACTAGCTGCAATCGCATACCCTTTTTCTTCGCTCAAGTTTTGACTCTCTACGCGAACAATCAGAATACTTGAGATATACCTCGCTTAGGATAGAATGAAGATAATTATAAAACACAGATAGTTATTTCTTTTTACCTATAATCCCAATATAGATAATTTGAAGCTTCTTATGGTGGAAAGAAAACGAAAGGAAATACTGGAAAGCGAGGAGTAAATAGAGGATGCGATGGTCCCTTGTGTCGGAAGTAACGTGTCATCTTTTGTGTTCCGAGGAAAAATTCTAAAGCTGATTTAAATGAAGCGAGAATTCGATTAGAAGATACGCTTCGATTAGAGAATACAGATGATTATAATATAACGACAGTTATTTCTTTTTACCCATAATCCCAATATGATTAAATCAAATTGGCTTCTTTGACCGGAATCGTGAAAAGTTGCGTGGAAATCAACGTGTCAACCATTTGCACTCCTCTCAGTCGCCATTTAATCAGATTCTAAAATCCAATATGATTAAATCAAATTGGCTTCTTTGACCGGAATCGTGAAAAGTTGCGTGGAAATCAACCATTTGCACTCCTCTCAGTCGCCATTTAATCAGATTCTAAAGATGGATGTCAATTAATATCTCAAATTTGCAATTACCCAACGATACGTGGAATATCGAAGTAAAATAATTCTACGTCTTACTTTGCATACGATTTCTTATTTACCGTTTGAAAAATATCGTCGACCTTATGGCAGAAAGTCTTCGAATCACTATTTTCCTGTAACGAAGAAATCGCCGAGTGCAAAGGGTTAGCAAAAGAGGCCCGCCTTTAAAAGGGCAGCTCGAAAAGCGGGAGCGGCGTGTGAATATCATACTCAGAAGAATAGAGTACAATCGGTCACCGAGTGATAGACTCGTTTTAACCAAGCCCTCTCTTCTCCTCTCCTTACAATATCAGCCAATTAGCGATTGGAAAAAGCACGCCATCGAGCTTACAAGAAGCATAAGAACAGGACCCTTGACGACACAGGGAGAATCCTGAGCGAAGAAGCGTTGAAGAGTCCTCGTAGAAATAGATTGTGACCGGCAAGGGTGTGAGTCGTTCCGTGTTGAAGAGAGTCGAGTTAGAGCGTGTTTCCGTGTGTTATAGTTACGTTATTTTAGTGTTCTTTTCTCGCGTTAAATTAGTTTTCCGAGTTTAATATTCGCATTATCCTTTGCATACTATTCTGTCCGTTTTCGGCGTCTCAAACCCGATATTCCTTCGATTAAAGAAGATATAGATATTTAATTCCTGCACGCTGAAGACAATAAAATCTATTTTCGACGTCCTACAACATTACACAGTAATATAAATATAATATCGCCGAGGAACGATGTCCAATTAAGAAAAGACGTTTCCCGGACGAAGCTTCCCGGAAGTCGCGTTTTCGTGGCTCGTTTCGCCACGGATTCGAACGAGCGAGGAGAGAAAGAGGTGGATTAAGAACGCTTTCGTGGAATAATAATCAACCAGGGCTCGAAACAATGACACGATGCCTTCAAATCGATCCACGAACCGGCTTCGTGCACGAAGTTCCGCGCGGGATATGCAAAGACGAGCGGGAGGAGGACACCTGTTTCATGCTGGCCAGGAATCCCTCTCCTTTCCTCGGGTAAACAGCCCTCGCCGTATTCGGCGAGCGGTGTTCTTCAGGGGTGAGCTACCCCTCGGATCGCGCGTATTTCTGCCGCAACGACGCCAATCAAAACGTGGGTAACGTGACTGGCGTCGTTTAGAATTTATTCGCGAAACGATGACCACGAGGGGGTATTTACGCGAGGGGTTCGCGAAGATTTATGGACTCGTGGATGGAATAAATGACACGCGGAATG